GTGGTGGAGGCTCTGGCAGATCTGGCAGTACTGGTGGCAGTGGCTTTGGCAGCAGCTCTGGCAGTGGTAGCGGCTCTGGCAATGGCATCGGTTCTGGCAGTACTGGCGGCCGTGGCTCTGGCAGCAGCTCTGGCAGTGGCAGCGGATCTGGCAGCGACTGAGGATCTGGCACTTGCCGTTCGGGGAGTAAGAGGCGGCGGTGACCGATCCGCAAGCTCAGGCGGTGACGGCCGATCAGGAAATTCTGGCGGCGGAGATGAACAGTGACGAGGTACTAATGGCAATTTTGTGAGAGGGTGATATTGTGGATTCATTGAGAATCAGGGCAAACTCTAATAAATTGTAAAGAGAACCCCAAGGACCATAACGGGTGAGGGTGGTCTTTAAAGGTTCGTTCAGTCCACAACAGAAAATCTCAATCAACACAAAATCGGGGAAATCTGTTAACTTTGTCAGGGTTAACAAATCCTTTATATGACCCTCGAGGGCAAGGTCACATTGGTGTGTTCTCATAAGCCAGATAGCTGGGTCCATTTTCAAAAAGCTGCTTCCAGAGTGGGGTACAGGGAAAAATAAATGCCGCTGGATCCTAATGTGGTTTGTTGTTCTGTTACCATCCGGTGTAATGTTCAGAAGAAAAGCACAAAGAGCGGATCCAAATGCAGCATTTAAACATTTAATGAAAGAACTATGACAAAACAAGACAAACTAAAATAAAGCAAAACAAACCAGGAACACACAGACATCATGGGAGCAACTTAAACAACAGACAATTAGAGGGGCAAACAAACTAAATTATATAGTCCTGGTGATCATTGGGAATGAGCTGCAGCTGTGAATGTGTGTGCGTGAGAGTGTCTGGATGACGGTCAGCTGGAGCAGGTGTTGATTGGTGCATTGAATTCTGGTCATGGTAGTTTATGTGGTGTGTGTAGTTCATGTGAATTTTTACCAATGATCTCTGGATGCTGGATCGTGACAGTGACACCAGGTCTGTGGTCTGTCCATATTAGTCTGTCATTGGAGAGCATGTGGAGTCATAAAAAAAAGAAGCAGGGTCTTCTCATAGGATACGAAAACTCAGCTATGAATAATGAGAAACCGATGCATCATCATTCCACTAGCAGATGCGTGCTACGTCACCATTTTTGATCCTGTCCCAATAATTATTTTAATTATGCTACTCCACTGACACGCACATCTATGCTGAGTCTTGTTTCTCTGTAGTGAGCATCACATAAGCGTTTATTCAATTGTCTGCTGTGTTTAAACCCTTGATTGTTTTATTGTTTCTGTTTGTTTTGCCACCTGCCTCAACCATTCGCCTGTTTACCGTTTTACCCCGTGTCAACAAGCTTGGCCCCCCTTTGGCCCCCCTAAATTTAGACGCGTATTTTTGTGTCAAAACGCCTTGGAGAAGCGAGATCAACCATCGGTGGCTCGCTCTCTCTGCTTTCGCGCGCTTTCTTTCTCTCTCTCTCTCTCTCTCGTTCTACCTCTGTCTGTCTGTCAGTGACGGTGCTGCGCACAGTTCCCCGCATTTGTCAGAAGTTAACCCCCAAATTGAAACAGGTAATAAAACGATTCAACTTCAGTCATGCTCATGTTGTGAAACACTATCAAAATGTCCACTGTTTATGATATTAGGCTTCTGTTTTCAATAACGATTTCAAAACTTTTATTATAGGAAGTGCTCGGCTTTGCAGAGGCTATTATTAATCAGAAATTGACTGTACATAGTTTTACATTGGGAAATGCAGTCTTGAACTTACAAACGGCAAGTACAGGAGAACAGATGAAACAGTGATCCAGTTTAGTTTTCAGTCACGCTCATGTAAAAGTCATATTCAACTTGTTTAGTTTTGCCTTCTTCATTAGTTTTTGATTTCAGCCGTGACATAAAGCACGAGTCATCAGGACATGATTTATTACAACACGTTTTTAAACATAATAGTTTAACTAACCAATTTTTATAATAACTACTTTTTACCTTTCCCAAAGTGACAGTGCACGATATTTTACTTGTTATTTAGCAAGATAGTTGTATACAGACAATGTCCCTTTAAGTATTCTAGTCTTTGATTCAGATTAAAGTGTAATTTAAAGACTTCATTAGGTTATGTTAACTAGGATAGTTGGAATGATTGGTCAAGCTATTGTATAACTGGTTTGTTGTGTAGATGATCAATAAAATAAACAGTAATTCTTTCTTAAAGAAGCTAATAACACTGACTTAAAATAGTTTATTAAAAATTTAAAACTACTTTTATTAAAAAAATAAACTATAAGAAGTAACACTTATTATGACTCCAGATTAATTATTTGTGTTATAGGAAATACTGTGAAAATCTCCTTGGTTTGATTTAGATCACTTGAGAAACATAATTTTAAATTATTGGGAGGGCAAAAAAAAATTGACTTTAACTGCATCTGTTAAAGTTTACAGGTGTAAAAATGTGCCTTGCTGTACTTGAATGTTAGAAATGTGTTATCCTACAATACAAAGTTACTTGTCAAATAAGTGGGTAGCACAAACGCCTCACAGCAAGAAGGTTGCTGGTTCGAGTGCCGGCTAGGTCAGTTGGAATTTCTGTGTTGAGTTTGTTTGTTCTTTCCGTGTTGCTGTGGGTTTCCTCTGGGTGCTCAAGTTTCCCCCACAGTCCAAAAACATGTGCTATAGGTGAATTTGTTAAATTGTCCAAGTGTATGAGTGTATGGGTGTTTCCCAGTGATGGGTTGCAGCTGGAAGGTCATCCGCTGCGTAAAACATATGCTGGATAAGTTGGTGGTTCATTCTGCTGTGGCGACCCCAGATTAATAAAGGGACTAAGCCGAAAAGAAAGTGAATAAATGAATGTTTATGAAGACTGCAGAGTGATGCATGAAAAATGACTGAATAATTGTTTTAATAGTTTGTGATGTATGATAAAGTGTGCCCCCTAAAAGTAGAAGTGGCCCCTGCCCGGCCCCCCCAGTTACTCTGGTCCAGAACCGCCACTGTGTAACAGTGAGATTAATTGTAAATTCAAATATATTTGGTTATGTCCACTTTCATGAACTCAGCTGTGGCTGGATGCCTGATAATCTGTCATCCATTTTTTTTTACAAATAATTTGGCTGTTTTACACTAGTGTATCTGCATACACTGTCACTGGAACAAATCTTTACTAACCAAAAGTGTTTGCGACATCAGGGTTGTCTGTCTCTTAAGAAACCAGACATGCCACTTTTGTTTTTAAAATATCTGTAAAGTAATTAAGAACTTTAAAGATTGGATCAGTGAACCTCACATGCTGACATGACAATTTTCATGTTTCATTAAAGTCTATTTGGACTATCTGATGGACACTTATTTGGACTGATTTATTGTTAGGTTACATTTTTGTTGTGCCTTAAGAGTTTGACTGTTAAAGAAAAAACTTTTGTAACTTATTTTATACATTTGGTATGGAAATGGTATTGTTCAGGAATCATTATCCAATTTAAAATATTGTATAGTTTTCAAACATTTCTGAATGATACCCAGACAGATGTCACACACCTTTGTAAAATCTAAAGTCAATCTTTATTGCATTTTATTCCATAGGTGACAGGTAAAATAATGATAAAAGCCCCCTTTTGTGGGTAAAGTGCCAAATTAAGATCACAGTATCTGTGGAAATAAACAATAGTTATGGATAGATAACTGTGTTATGGTTACTAGTGGTGTGAAAGTTCCTCTTCTGAAGATTTTCTTCTGCCATAGTCTGGTCAAAGGTAGAGATAAAAACATTTCAAGTGCATTTGTAAAGTAAAATATTTAAATAAAAGATATATGTTCACCCTTTGTAAAAATATAAAGGGGTAACAAGAACAAATTTAATGGTAAAAATTAAGGAACAATTTGACAGAGCTCTAAGCACAAACCCACACACAATTATAAGAAAGCTTTTGCACATAGAAAACACAGCAGTAAGTTTTCTAATGTATAAATGGTTTTACAGCTGGTTGGTCAAATATACCCCTGAGACAATCTTTATACCCCTTCATGAAAATAAATAATAATAATAACAGAAAAAAAAACTGAAAGAAAGATAAAATGACAGATATATGAAATATAAAATAAATATAGTAAATACAGTCCCTGACAAGGTAAATGTTAAGTTATAAAAAAGCAGATGTGCTTAACATATAAACTTTGTTATTACATGCAAGATGCATGCTGATATTAACTGTAAGAAATAAACAAATTCAAGAAATTGGTATGTAATTTCTATTTGCTGTTAATTGCAAAAAATCTACATCATTTTTAAACAGCAAGTACATAGCCAAGGCCCAGAACAATGCTGTTATGGAGATGGTCACTGTGAGTCCACCGTGTCTAGTGCTGAACCGTCCTAGCCTGGAAAACCTGCCATACCCTGTGGAGAACAGAACTAATGGGTCAGATAGCCCTGAACATTGCACTGCTGCTGTAGCTACCATTGTTTGGGAAATCATACGTGATTTAACCATATAAAATGTTTTTATAGCCAATCCAGGCTGCAAACCTTTTGAATTACCACTTTAATGTTTTAAATATAAAGGCAATTTTATTTAATTTTAGTACTTTGTTCATGTGTTGCTAACATTGTACTAATTTTTCCAATAGCAAGCAAATAATTTTATAAATAAAATTTATTGTTTACCCTGTCTGTGGTGAAAGGTTTGTTGGTATGGGTAAGATTAAGGTTGTGTTTTGGTGTAAGGGGTGAATCAACAATGTAATTATAAATGTAAAATATAGAAATTTTCGATGCACATTCATGGAGAGGCAGAGAAAGAGACTATTTGTTAAGTTTTCAAAGGTTTAATTCAAACAAAAATGTTCCCTCAATTGGTTCTAAGCCTTTAAAGGTTTATTCATTCTGTTGGACACTACAGAGGATATTTTGAAGGAAGCTGAAAAATGTTAACCATTGATTTTATAGTATGAAAAGTATTTTAACCAGTTCTGTGATTATCTTTGGTTTCAAACTGCGTTAAAGTTTACCCATCATTTGTTTCTTTGTGTTTTTTTCTGGTTTCAGCAAAATGATGTAACACTTTGGAGCAAATATGCAAAATAGTAAACCAAAACTTGAAACTAAAATGGCAAAGATCTCCACAGCTACTGTATACTTTCCAGGAGAACTTACATATGCTGGAATAAATGTAAGCCAGACAGCACAGAATATGAGCATACTAAATGTAATGAACTTCGCTTCGTTAAAGTTATCCGGGAGTTTTCGAGCAAGAAAAGCTAAAACAAAACACAAGGTTGATAGCAAACCAGTATAACCCAGAACAGCCCAGAAACCGAATGCTGAACCTAAGTTACATTCAAGGATGATCTTTTCTCTGTAATAGCTCAAATTCATATATGGGTAAGGAGGAGATAATGTTAACCAAAGCAAACAGACAATAACCTGTACTAATGTTAAGGAAACAACACTGAGTCTTTGTTGAAGAGGCCCAAACCATTTCATGACATTACTGCCTGGAAGTGTAGCTCGGAATGCCATCAACACCACTATTGTTTTCCCCAGAACACAGGAAATACAGAGGATAAACGTGATCCCAAATGCTGTGTGACGCAACATACAGGACCACTGAGTGGGACGACCAATGAATGTGAGTGAACAGAGAAAACACAGTGAGAGTGAGAAGAGCAGCAAAAAGCTCAGCTCTGAGTTGTTGGCTCTGACAATAGGTGTTTCTTTATGAAGATAGAACAGACAAGTTACCATTACTGTTAATAGCAACCCAATGAAAGAGACAATACAAAGAATTATCCCCATGATTTCTGCATATGAAAGGAATTCAACCACTTTTAATATACATCTGTCTTTCTTTTCATTTGACCAGTACTCCAAATCACATGAAAAGCAGTCACTAGAATCTGTGAAAGAATTTTCAGAAAAGATTATTGGAATATAGAGTGGATCAGGAATCATGTGGCCTGTGTGCATACTTTATAATACTTTTATCACAGTTATTTCACTTGTATAATTTTACCTGTGCTGTTACTGATTTCTCCCTCTGCACATGGAATACAGTCATAACAGCAGACAGGGCGTCCTTTTTGTACAGCCTTTCTAGTTCCTGGGAGACAGCTCTCAGTGCACACGGACAATGGTAACTACAATAAAATATAAGTAAAAAGTCAATAAATTGTCCAAATTTGCCGGATGCCTTCATGGAAAAATTATAATATTGATGTACCAATCCACTTTTCCCTGCCCACAGCATGATTTCCTGATTGACTTGTAGACGTTGCTTTGAAGGCAGTGAGCTGTCATAGATGCCCACATGCTTAAACTGCAGACTTCCATCCTCAGCAGTCTGCCAATTCACAAGGTCATATCTTGCCACTGGATCTCCACTTGCATCAAAGAAGATGTTCTCACCTGTTTTTATTGTGAAACTCAGATTTCTCATATACTGCAATACCTGACAGTAAAGGTCAGAAACATAATTGTTTTATTTATTACTACAGTATTCATGTAATTATTTATTCATGTATTTATGCATTCATTCATTGCCTTTTGTGGTGTGGGTAGCTCTCTTTTGCTGTTGTTGGGGGCTTTTACATCTTTAAAAACATTATGCAGTGTGTGTGCAACTGCATACACTGCAGCATACGCTTTGTGTTCTATCCGTAGCTCTGATACATCAGTATATTCATTCTTCAACTCTCCAAGTTTCTCAGAACCAGTACATAGAGCACTGTCACTGTTGCTGAAAGAACACTGAAAAGCTGTTTCCCAAAATTCTTTTAAAAGCTTGTTTTTTGGTTCTTGATCTGGGTGCACATTTACCAGGAACTCTTTTAAACCTACAAGTTTGGCATTTACAATGGCAAAGCCCACAGCTCCAGAAAGGAAACTGTATTCCTTTGTTTCTGCAAGATTTCGAGATGTTATCCAAGATTCACTGCCAACCCACTGCAGTCCTGTGATGTTGTTTTCTGCAATTACTTTTACAAGGGGAGCAAAATCTCCGAATGAAATAAAGGCTACCACCACCTTGGATGTGCCCTTTTTGATCACTTCCACTGTCTTTCGAAACTGTTCTTGTGGATCAGTTCTTAATATGGCCTCTGAGTACTCAATGCAAATCCCTTCTTGTTTTGCTGCATCCTCGAATGCTGTGATGCCATTATTACCATAGTCACTGCGACTCCTGACTGTCCCAACCCAGGTCCAGCCAAAGTGCTTGACAAGCTGAGCCAGTGCTCTGCTTTGGTAATAGTCACTCGGTATAGTTCTGAAGAAGGAGGGATATCTTTTCCTGTTACTCAGACATGCACATGTTGCAAAATGACTGATCTGCAAGAAGAAGAAAAGAAAAATAAATTATACAAAAAAAAAAAAAAACTGTAAATCCTCAATTTTTTCTACCTTCCCCACATACATATATTTTAGGTGTATGCTTCAGTAGTTTGTCATGTACATTGGCTACTTGCTATCATGCTGATGTAAAATATGATGTCTTACAACGGGTATGTTAAATGGACCAACTAAAGCAGCCAAGGCCGTTGTGGGACTGGATGATGATTCTCCAACTATAGCCTGAACAGCAGGTGGCTGAGAGCAGGATGTATCACTCAAAGTATTTTCATAGCCATTTATTAAAGCCATGCCTGAGACAAGAGTCGGAGAAATTGCATTACAGGCATCATAGATTTTATAACCCAAAGTAACTCCAGGTAACAACTGTGTGTTGTTATTTATTTCCTCAATAGCAAAAATAAATGTCTGGGCAAATTTAAATTCACGCAAGTTTAACCTGTGAAATTAAAGTGAGTCATTTAAAACTGCAAAAAATAATAATAAATTAATTCTAAAAAATGTTTTGTTGTTTGATTTAATTTAATTATTAATACCATCATACAGACCTGACACATGTTGTTGGCTCTGGTTTGGAAGTAAAAGGATACAGCCTTAGCAAAGCATTCCTATGAATTGAGAAAATTGCTCCAATGTTGATATCTCTTTCTGCAGACAGTACAGGCAAAGCAGATTGACCTACCAGATCACATATTTGCACTGTTGCTGGAAGAAAGTGACCATGTAATAACAGTAGAAGTAGCAGCAGTGACAGAGTATTTGCCATGCCAAGTGTAAACATGAACAGCAGATCCTCTGAGGCAAAACTGAAATAGTGTTGCATTTTATTGTTAAAGTGCCCTGTGGGACTGGAATAGAGAATCATGTAATGTTTGAGTTTGACCATTTCAACAAGCTTTAATCACAGAAAAGAAACAAAAAACATACCTCTGTGCACATAGCAATACTAAAAACATTTTGAGTATATACAAATCTTTTTGTTTTTTTCTCATAAATTATTAAGTTATGTTATGGGATGTGCATTTACTTGTTTGAGCTGCTCAATTGCATGATGATCAAAGCCGTTGTGCAGCAAATGTGCTGATTTGGTGGTAACATATCAGTTAATGACATGGTTTGATGCAACATCAAAGTAAGTCACAAACATCTTTTTCTATTAAATTCATGGACAGTATTGTGTAAAATAAAAAATACAGACAAACATGGTGTTTTGTGGAGATTGAAACTTACAATGTAATGGATTCGGATTCCTGCCCAGCATAGATCAATGTTTATCCTTTTTCACATTACTTTATTAATATGATTATTTGAATAAGTATTTAGGTTTGAAATGATTTTGACTAATGAATCAAGTTAATACATAGTTTATTATAAAATAAGAATGTTCAGTGCATTTATCTGTCTAGTTTAACTATTTTCAGTAGCCACCAAACTAGGTCAGAGGTCATGGAGACCTCGAGTGGAACTGAAGGGCTTAATAATTGAAAACATCTATTTTCCTATTTGTAAAATTATGTGTTAATACTGTCTAAAGTGATTTTGATATTATTGTTATTATGTGTATATTCTGTTTTGATTGATTTATCTTTTTATTCAAGATAGACTTTGTGTAGTAAGAATATAGTAGTCTGAATGCTGTTTATACACTCAAAAAAATTTTGTTGAATGAACATGATTTAATCGTGGCACTCTTTATGCATCTAATCCAAGTGTGCCGCAAGCCTGCGTTTGAGTGAAGGTCTCGGCCGTTAGATCGCCCCCTGGGGGCTGGCTGCAGTACAAGTCATAAAGCCCGCCTCCTCCGTGTTAATGAAGGAGGCTTGAGCCCAAATAAAAAAAAATATTACACTTGCAATAAAATGTCCCGAAAGATAGTTCTGGTCGATTAAGGCACTGGTTATTGTGCTGAAATAGGTGCAGATCTTCATTTTTGTAAACAGTTTGTTTTTAGCAGTAATTTAATGCTGGGCGTGTCATCGTGATTGACAGCTGTGATTGAGTTTCTCAAAGCGCGGCGTCTGAGCTTCGGCAGGAGACTGAAGTAGACTGAAATGTTATTATTCGATTTCTGTGTTATTTTACCATGACAAAATGAGTTCAGCAGTAAACTATAGTTTCTGACATACATGATCCTGGTGGAACACTGTTTATTCGCTAAGGTCAGGGCTTTTTTCGGGCTTTATTAGTTTGCTGATACACGCCTAGCCACCCAGATAGCAAAACACAGTTCCGGCTAGATTCTCGCCTGCCGGAGACTTATCTCTTAGAGCTCAGACTGACTAATGTTACCTCTGCTGGACCTACTCCGGATGCCTGGACTCACTACCCAATTCCAGCCCGAGTCAATCGAGCCAGATGCGGTGGCCGAGCGAGCAGGCGCTGACGCATGCGAGCCGGAATCAGCCCGCGACGCCGCGAGTAAGTTATGCAATGCGGCCTGGAGCTGGCGCGATTGAATATATAAAACCCTCATATTTGTTAACGTTATTACATCCATTTGTGTTGATATGACAGCAAACGCATGCTGAGAAGTTCGGGGGGCGTGGTTGATTTTACATAAAGCGTTTGGTTGGAAGCCCGACTCTGCTCATTTTCGCGGCTCCTCCTCTGGCTCCATCAGACAATCCTTCTGCGCATGTCAAGGCTCCAATTTCAGCAGTCTTTTGCGACAGTTTGTGCCCGTCAAGCAGGCGTTTTGCCCTCAAGGCGTTCAATGGGAAAAAGGGCTGTCGCGTCGTCCATATTTTTTACAGTCATTGATCTAATCCAATCAAGTAAACCTGAACTGCTTTGAACATGTTGTATGAACACAAAGCACATTTGTAGATAAAAAATGGTTTTAATATGTCAGTCTAACTTCTTTGCAACTAATTGACTCAAAATGTTTGTATTGTGTTATTCTAATTAAAATGATTAGCTTACCCAATTCACCTGTACCACATTACTTTGGACTGTGGGGGAAACCGGAGCACCCCGAGGAAACCCACGCGAAGGCATGGAGAACATACAAACTCCACACAGAAACACCAACTGAGCCGAGGTTCTAACCATCGACCCAGCGACCTTCTTGCTGTGTGGTGAACGTGCTACCCACTGCGCCACTGCCTCGCCCTGTTGTTTAAATTACATTTTTTAAATTACAATACTATGAAGCAAGATTTAAAATTAAATAATTCAACACAAAAAGGACAGAAAACATGTTATATATATATATATATATATATATATATATATATATATATATAATTTCTTTTGTGACACCAATCACATTTAATTATATTCTGATACAAAATGTTATATAATATCCAAAATTGTAATATGTAATATAAAATAACCAACAAAATAACCTTGGCTCTTAAGAAAACTAATCCCCAAGCAATACCTGTAGGACGTTAACATCATTTTTTTTACCAATTGAGTTTAAACAGCTTTCTTCACTTTAGTACTCCTATTCAAATGTAAAAGTATAAAATGTATAGGAAACATATAGCCAACAACATAACATGCATAACATTCAAGCTCTTGGGAAAACCAATTCCCAAACTGTGCCGAAAACACGCGGTGATACTTCTTGTTGTTTTCGTATGGTGACATCCAAACGCACTACCGCCACCTACTGATATGCGTGAAGTGACTCTCCAGAGTGAGAGTTGTCGATTTGAAGCGTCTCAGTCTCATTGAATCAACATGTTCTGATCAAATTCATTTGATTATTTCTTGATTCAGTTTCAAATAACATGAATTAATCATTTAACATACGTAAACTTGATTTGTTTTTTTCAATCTGACAAATTTTTATTTTGTAAATCCAATACATGCCTAGTTGATTTTTTTGAGTGTACCAGTTTTAAACTTGTTTGATAAGACAGCTGAGAGTACGAAGAAACAACCTTGGGTTTTTATAACAGATTACACAGTCTCTTGTGTGTGTATATGTATTGTGAGTGTTAAAGCTGGCTTCTGCTGATGAAACTGAAAAAAAATCTAAAGTAAACTTTATTTATCTGAATCTCTGACTCTGGCTCTTTGTCATCTGATAGAATGGTTATTCTTTGAATTGAAACTGTAAATTATCCCTACAAATGTAAATAATTCTACGTTATATTCAGGAAGCCTGACATGCAAGCAAAAACTGTGGTGTACCATGTTCTTTAAATGAAAACGCTTTTGAAATTACACTAAAAGAAGAGAGTATATATAGTTTTGCTTGATTTAATTGCTTCTTGTCCTTGTGTCCTTCACTCAAACCATGAAGGAGTGTAGCCAGGGCTTAATTTGTACCAGAACAAGCCAGATCCGGCACCTCTAAAAACTGATCTGGCACCTCATTTTACTGATCTCCCTCCTCATGCACCATTGAAAAAAATGCTCTGCAGAATTGTAGCTTGCATAAACTTAATTTTAAAAACTCATATAATTAATCACAATATCAATAACTTAGAATGTAACTTAATATTTAAAATAGCTGTAAACATGCAAAAAAATCTGTGCTTAATTTGAAATGTAAAACAATGGCTAAAATACAGATATAAGAAATTATTTTAAACATAGTACACCAACAATGTCCAAAACAAAACAGGCTAAAATTATAAGCTGTAGATGATAGCAAGGGTTCAAATACACCTGTTGACAAAAAAGATGAACCAATCTGTGATGAACAGAAAAAGTTGATCAGGGTCGTGCACAGGGGGGTGGCCCGGTGGGTGGAGTTACTGCCCCTCTGCACTCATTGACTGAGGTCCCCTTCTCAACAGACACTTGCTCAATCGCCCCCCTAACAGCCATTTTTAATGCAAGCTATTTTTTTTTTTTTATTATGCTTGAGCATCTTCTTTCTCCTAGGTGCTAATGTGCTTTTATCTTCTTAGTCACGCTCGTGGCGATTTCAGGGCCAGGTGATTACCAGACCTGTTTACTTGTCCCAAAAACGCCTATTGCCAGCTGTTTTATTCCCTGACCGAGGCCCCCCTCAACACAGATGCGCTGGCTCACAGCTAGCCACTGGGCATGCGCAAATACGCGTTTCCCCCAGTGAGCTTAATTGCACAGACGCTGTGCAAAGTCAGAGAGGACAAGCAGCAGGTCTTGTTTGTTGCGCCTCTCTGACCCAACCCTATTCTCTCCCTGGGACGGAGCACCCTCTGGCACCCGCGCACAGATCTCTGGAACCTCCAAATGTGGTCCAGAGCGTGGAAGACTTAGGTGACTTACCGGCGTCAGTACATAACACCATCACTCAGGCTTGAGCACCCTCTACGAGTCATGCCTACGATCTGAAATGGAGTTTATTCTCTGAGTGGTGCGCTTCTCACTGAGAAGTCTCCTGAACTTGCCCCCCTCTTATGCCCTTTTGGGATCTCTCTGCAGTCCTGTCTCTTAATATTCTGTCAATGAAAATGAAGACAGCTCTGCTGATTGTGTTGGCATCGTTCAAGCGAATCTGGGATTTGGTGGCATTTTCAGTCAGCAAATCGTGCCTGGATTTTGTGCTGGCTTACTCTCACGCCATTCTGATACCCGATCCTGAGACCTCTTTTAACAGATATCTGCAGGCTGTCAACACCCAACACATTCGCCAGGCTTTATATCTTCTAGTGGAGCCTGTTCCCTCCTCATTATTGGGTAACCCCAATCAATCGGGAGATAATTAAGTTCGGTGTCAACAAAAACTTACTGTTCCATGCTAGATAACCAGGACATACATGTGCCATACATACATACATACATTTTTATTTTACTAGTGATTTTTCCCACTCAGGTAAACCCTAGAGCAGGGGTGCTCAATCCTGTTCCTGGAGATCTACCTTCCTTTCAGATTTCAGTTGTTACCCATATCAAACACACCTGCCTGTAATTATCAAGTGGTGTTCAGGTCCTAATTAATTGGTTCAGGTGTGTTTGATATGGGTAGCAACTGAAATCTGCAGGAGGGTAGATCTCCAGGAACAGGATTGAGCACAACTGCCCTAGAGAATTCCTCCGAGGCCCCCAGCACTCGACTCAGCAGAGTTGTCGAGTACCTGGCTCAGTGTAATGTCTGGTATGTGTCACAATCAAAAAAAAATCTTAGAGGATCCAATTGCAAGTGTACACAGGAAAAACACCAGAGTCATTTTTCAGAGTTATATTTTTTTTACTCAAAAGTAGTTGTTTTTGGTCTATTTTGAGTGTTCAGAGTAAAATGTGTCAGTAGAGTGGGAGCAAAATTACAGAGTATTTTTTAACAATCCTGCCAGAGTCCCCGTGCACCATTAAGGAACAATGAAAACAGCATAAAATTTGTGGACATTTCATAAATTAAATTTATATGGGAAATACACCACATTATAATTTAAAAGAGACTACAGTCATACTGCCAGCTGTGAAATGTTACCTATAATGAAGACCTATTTACAGTCAGATTTATAAATGAAAGTCATTCTCTTCAAATTTGAGTTGAACTTTATAGACGCTCCCTAAACATACATAGTCTATATAGGTTAAATGTATTGTTTTAGGTTTGGCAAAACGGCGAAAAACTTTTAAAGTTTGCAGCACAGATGACAACAAAAGTATGTTCTAATAAAATTGTATCCACATGACGGAAAACGTGTGAAGGACGTGACGTTTGTAACTCCTCCCTAAACTGCCCAGCTTGAGAAGTTTCTATTCTCCGCCATAACTTCGTCACGGTCTTTGATCGGACCTGCTTTCGGAGGAAACGTACGCTCCTGCTGGATATAAAGTAAGTAAGGTTACAATGTCTTAATATTCATTTTAATAGTATCTGTATATACATGTTTTTCCGTTTTGGATATATTTTTCAACTATGGCAGGATGTGTGGAGCGCCTTTTCAACGGTCATCGGACGTTCAAATGTTTGCAGGGAACCTAAGACCTAAGGCTTGTTAAAACTAAGATAAATCTTGAGAAATTGCTAGTTACTAGTTAGGTGCCTATCAAAAGTTTGTCCACTAACGTTAAACTAAATGATGAGCTGCTCGAGATGTGGGCCACATGTAATTGACTCTATGAAGAGCCAACGTTATGATAAAGCTAACTTAGCATTAAAAGAATCGATTAAAGCCATTTGTACGTTACGTCATGTGTTCGAACTAAGAATAATCTTGAATAAAAATCTGCTTATAGATTATAAACATGAGTTGATACCAGTGAAAAAAGTTAGGTGCCTATTAAATATTTGTCCGCTAACTTGAAACTTGACTTGAAATTTAACATGCAGCTCGACTTGTGGGCCACATGTACTTGACTCTATAAAGAGTCAACGTTGTTAACGTTAGCCGTTAATAAATAGATGACGGTGCTTTTATGCGTTAGAAATAAAAGTATTGTTAATCCTAAATAAATATCTGCCAATATTAAGTTTAATTGTTAATTGATATCAATGAAACCAGCTTACGTAGGTGCCTATCAAATGTTTGTCCATTACATTAATGTAAATCTAACGTTGGGAGATGGAAGGTTCGAGTTGTGGGCCACATGTATTTTACTCTATAGAGAGTTAATGTTAAGTTACATTAACGTTAGTCGCTGATTTCATTGCATTCTAAATTCAGAACGTGGATGTTTCAATTTAAAATTCACCTTTTTGTAAACACTAATGATATGAAAATTGATAAACTTCAATGTAGTTTGCATGTAGTTTAATCTGGCCTTTTATTATTGAAATGTTAAGTATTTAAAAGAACAATATTTTACCATAACTTACATTTAGCAAAGTAAAAAATATGGTTGGGGGATTAAAAAAAAAGTTTGAAATGGGTTGTTACAGTAATTAAATGTTCATTTTATATAGTGTACGGGTTAGCTTATAAACATTCTATATACTGTATATGTAACTATTTGATTAATTCCTGAAAATAAAAGACTTTAGTTTATTTTTGTTAATTTCTTATTTTTAAAATTGCATCCATCATTAAAAAAATATAAAAGCACAGTCAAACTATAAGTCATATTTTGTGAAGCAATAATGAGCAATCTTTTCATCTGACCATGTTGTTCTTCATCTTATCCCCTTATGTTTAACATCATCTTTCTGGTCCCTTTAGGATGCAAACCAACGTTGTCAAAGTGAAGTTTAGAGAAATGAAGAAATATGTGTTTTCTTCAGATCCTTTCACATTTGAGACATTTTTGGAATGTGGTAAGATATAACAAACTTTCACATTGTTTACATTAATATGTTTTCACTGAAAATTATTTGTTATAATAATACAGGGTGTCCGCAGAAGTTTTTAAAATTCTTAAATCTTATAGTATAAAAATAAGATCTTAATTAGTCTTAAAATGTCTTAAATCTGTGTTTCAGAGGACTTAAAAATGCAATCAAGCCGACCCCATAAGCAAGATTTGGTTTCTTTTTGAAATATGCTTAAATCTTACAATCTATTATAACACATAACAACAGGTGGAACCAAAGTTCATTTATAGTCTTTGGCAGAACCCAATAAAATACACTCTCGCTGGGATTCTATTTATGTAATTAAAGTTTGCTGGAATTTTGCCTATATAAACAGTTTGCTGGAGTTTCACTCTATAATAGCTTATAACAGCTGTAGTAACGTGTACATTAACAAATAAAGAAAGAGATGCACCAAGGTCTGGACTCTGGGATTTTTTTGCATGAGCTTGACTGATGGCAGCGCTTAGTGTTGTTATAGAAACACCTGCAGACACTTACAGCCACGTATAATGTGTCTATGGTGCTAATAATGCAGTTTGGTGAAACACATGTAACATTTAGGATAGTCAATTAAGTTATTCATTAGTTAAGGATGCTGCATGCTTTTTTCTGTCGCAAATTCTGCACCATAAAGTTGGTCTTAAATTTCATTCTGCGTGGTATTAAAAATTTGTGTTAAAAATAACTTTTAAAAACCTGCAGGTACCCTGTAATATTTGTATAATCTTATAATATGTAAATATGACTTTTACTTACTTTAACTTTACTGCCCTTTGTCTATTTGCCAATTGTGTGTCTTTAGTTTCCAAGAAATTTGATCTTCCAACAATGGACATTAAAGTCTTTGATGACACAAAGACAGAAGTTGACGAGGAAGCATTTGAGCATCTGCTGACATGACCAGACATTGGAGTCCTAGAAATTGTCATCCCAGCAAGTCTGGATGGTAAATTTATTGTCATGCTTATCAAGTTTTGTTTATTATCAGCAATGATCACTATTTCTGTTTTGCATAATCTAATATATCTTTTGGACCAACTGTCAGTATCTGTAAAGTATACCATCAGAGTAGTAAGAACATATAATGAGACCACTTTTTTTACAGATACTTTAAGCTCAAGCTCACTAGGAGAAACTGAGTGCACATCAGAGTCTGATGACACAGCAATGCTAAGCCCTCCACAAAAAAAACAAGCTAAAGACCGTCATCTTGGCCAAGTAGGAGTTACACATTTTGCCTCTGATTTAAATGTATTTATATGATGATTAACAAGTGAAGATATTAAGCTAAAATATATACTTCTCAGTTGTTAATTTCTTGTATTTGCTCAAAATCACATTCGCCCTCAAGATGATTTCAGGATATTCTTAGGAACAGCCCTGGAGTAGAGAAAGTCATCAATGAATACTCTCGTACCAGAAGTCTGTCAGATTCACGAAGATGTGACATGGTCAAAATATTAGTTGCGCATTTGACAAATGAACATGGGTAAGTTTTTTATAAGGTAATTTATAAATAGATGTTTATGGTGTTTGTGTTATAATTGGTTTGTTTATGTTTGTGTGTAGAACAAGACCTTCTCAACGTTTGAAGGAAGAATATGCAAAGGGAATCATCTCCCTATTCCCACTTTTAGCTGACCCCATGAGTAAGCGTGGTTATGTAAGTATTTGTTACTTGTCAGTCTTTTAAATTACAGGAGGAGTATATACCTTTTTATTACAAAGTAAACATGATCTATTTTTATAATGATCTATGTATAACTACTTGATCTGTGTATTGTTCTGGCTATAGGAGCATTATTACAATGCTGAAGATGGAAGTGGATACCTGGCTTGGAGAATCAAAACATTGCAGAAATACACATCTGGTGGGAGGTTGAAAAAGCCTCAAGAACCACAAACAGGTACTAGATCTAGAGCTACATGATTCATGGTTTTGTAGATTTTTCATTTTAGTTCAAAATATTTACCCCAGGTAAATATGACATAATACTATTTCCTTCAATCAAATTTAAAGAAATGTAATGAAAAACAACATAATGTGTACATAGGAGAGCAACACTGCAGCCATCAATCTAACTAAATAAGGCAGGTGTGAAAGCACCTTTAAACTAAGCATTCTAAAGCGTATTTTACAAGCAAGGATTCTTACACAGCAACTGTCTTTACAAAAGACGACAGAAGTTTTTAATTTAAATAAAAATAATGTCAGTATTATTAGCCTCCTTAAGAAATATTTACTTAATATTTTTATATACACAAATCAGTTACAAAATCATTTGACTAATTATTTCAACTTTAACTGATTAAGTCTAAATTCCACTTTAATCTGAACAAATAACTATAAAATACTTAAAGGGACTTTGTCTGAATACAACTGTCTTGCAAAATTCGGTACCCAACCCTAGTTATAATATGTTGGCTGTTGGTTAAAATGTACAATTTTGCATAGACTTGGGCTAGTGGACTTAAATATACTTAAATTACGATTGTGTTTGTGACCTGTCTTTGAAATGTTCCTGTGTTCCAAACAAATAGGTCTATTTTTAAGTCATAGTGTGAATGAGTACAAATTGTAATTGCAGTTCTTCTTGGATGCAAGCAGGTTTGAGATAATCAGCAATGCTGGGCAAGTACTATTGAAAGAAAACAAACGGGAGATGTACTTTTCATTTATTTTATTTTGTCCTAAACACTTTTAGGTGGGCCAACAGCTGACAGAGATCCCTTAAGCCTTAAATCAGGGATGTCCTAACTCGGTTCTGAAGGGCCGGTGTCCTGGAGAGTTCAGATTTAACCCTAATCATACACAACTGAACCAGCTAATCAAGCTCTTACTAGATATACTAGAAACTTCCTGGCAGATGCGGTGAAGCAAGTTGGAGTTAAATTCAGGAGAACACTGGCCCACCAGGCCTGAGTTTGGACACCCCTGCCTTAAATTATTTAGGAGAATGTTACACATTTATAAGTCATCATCATAGTATTTCATTGATAGTTACGACCCTTTGTGCATGGATAACTCATATGCAACATAGACTTGCAATAGTTAAACGATCACAATTAAAATCACCGGTTTTTGTAATATTTCTTTCCAAAACTTTTTTCAAGAGCCTAGTACAGAGCTTACAGATTTAAAGTTCATTTTTGTTTTTTTGTTTTCATTTGAGACCATGAAATACAAAATCCTGACTGTAAATCAGGAATGCCTGAGCTTCATGGCTGGTGTCTTGTAGCGTTTAGCTCCAATCCTAAGTAGACACACCAGAATCAGCTAATCAAGGTCTTACTTGTCATACTAGAAGCTTCTAGGTAGGTGTGTTAAGGCTACTCCTGGACGAAGTTTGAGCACCCCTGTTGCAGATAAAGATCAATTATGTCACCTCATTTCAATATCTTTACATTTTTTTCCCTTAATTTATCAACATATCTGTACTCACGACATAATCATGAATCTGCTGTTAATACTGAGGGTATAATGTATGGAGTACAATCTTAAAAAGAAAATAAAAATAAAAATTTCCTATTAAGTTACTCATCCACAGGTCATCCAATATGTAGGTTTCTTTTTTTCTTCAGTCTAACATAAAGATGTTCAGCTAAATCTGTAGTCCATGATGATTCATGTAGTGGCAGACAATGGGAATTTGTTTTTCTGATTAAAACTAAACTCATGCAAATGATTGAAAATCAATAGCCATGACTCGTGATGATACACTGAGATTGTGTGAAGCTAAACAATCAGTCTGTGTAATAATATTTACAATATTATTAGCTTTAATCCACAACATGGTCAAACAGATATTGGCCATGTGCAAATGTAGTCAGCTTGAAGTTCTGTCACTTTGATTATGTGAAAATGTGAGCCAATATCCATCAACAAACTGCATCACCTGACCTCACGGCATCATGCGTCCTCATGCTTTTGCAATCAAAAGTGACAGAACTTTAAACTTATACATTTACACATGGCCTATATCTGTTTTACCAGGCTGTCGATTAAAGATAAGATTTTAATGTTACATTTTTTACATGGACTAATGTATCACTTCACAAGACCTCATTGTGTCATTAGGAGCCAAGGCTATTAATTTGAAATGGTTTATATGTGTTTATTTTTATTCTGAAAAACCTATCTCCATTGACTTTCATTATGTGAATCACCATGGAACACAGATTTATCTAAAAAATATTTTTTATGTTCTATTGAAGAAAAAAGACACCTATATCTTGGATGTCCTGTGGGTGAGTAAATAAAATGAAATTTTAATTTTTGGGTATATATAAATATTTGGGTATATTTAGTCTCATCTATCTAAAAACCAATCTTAAAAGCCCTAAAAACAATTTATTTGTTTTCTGTTTCTTCAGGTTGGGACAGTGATATGTCGTCGATCCTGTTATTAGTTCATCTCTTGCCACCCTCCAGCCAAGGTGGCAAAAAACCAGGCAAAATCTCAGCAAGACAGGCCTGTGATTGTCTTGTGAAATTCATCAAGGTAAAGATACTGATACAACTGAATAAATTACACTTTCTGTTAGTTCTATAATTTTTAACTTGTCTATTCTTAAAGAACACCCATCCTCCAAATTGTTGTTAATTTTAATATGTGGCACAAACATATTAACAATCTGATGGAGTTCTTGAAAGTATCTATACAGAAACTCTAGTTAAAGTGTTTGTTCATGCTATATTTTTACTTTTTCAGTTAAATCAAATTAATACTTGTATTTTATTCTTCCAGACTGGTACCAGTATTCAAGGACACTTGGATAGCATCAAAGAGAGTCTCCAGCCATATCTTCTTGCTGTTGGGCCATGCCTGCATGGCATCTAATTCGCTGGCCTGCGTTGATGAGCTTTTTAAAGCTCACTTTGTCTTTGGCACCTCATACTGCAAGGAACTCACCAATCTGTATTGCTTTCTGCAAACCACTGTCTATGATATAGATGTCGAAACCACCAAGGTGAATCCCAGAGTGGCTGAGTTAAGAGCCAGAATGCTCCAGTAAGCAGATGATTTGTTTCATTTGTAAAAAGAAGCATGCTAATGCCAATGGCCTAATAAAGCACTTTAAGTTAGTTCATGGTCTTTGCCCAGGAAAAAGACTAAAGTTAAAATGTGGTCAAAGTCGTTGTTTACATGTTTACCATAGTTTTTCTGGATTACGAAAGCATCTTAGCAGGTGTTGTGATCTACCAAACCCAAGTTCCAGTTCTCAGCCTGAAGGCCTAAAAAGGAATATAGTTAACAGTTGTGCAACTGTTGTTGCTGAACTTAAAGTGGCTGGTGTCGCAGAGACAACTATTAACTATGTTGTTAATGCTTTGGAAGAAGTAATTCGAGACATTCATAATGAAACTCAAGAAACTCTGAAAAACAGCCTATCTATAGAACAGCCTTTAAAAAGCATTGTTGAGTCACAGATTGATCAGTGTTTTGAAAATATCCAAAATCCATTTGTTGCATTAAACACTGAGAGAAAGAGAATGCAGTACTTTTCAGACAAATGGGGAAAAATAGATCCTGTTGAATATGTTCTTGGAACAAGATTTGCTACACGGCGTAACAAAACAACTGGGACTTATTCTTAAACAATTGTCAAGGATAAATTGGTTTATTTACCAATTCTTAAGACTTTACAGTCCATTTATAAGAACCCTAACATTAAAGATATGATTGCAAGAGATTCAGAACAAAAAACAAATTTTCTTTATGACATACAAGATGGAGAATTCTTTAAGAATCATCTCCTTTTCTCAAAACAAAGACATGCAATTCAAATCCAGCTTTTTTTTGATGAGTTTGAATGCTCAAACCCGCTTGGATCGAAACGGGGTATACATAAGTTAGGAGCCATCTATTTTACTCTCAGAAATATTTCCCCAAAATACAACTCAAGTTTACTAAATATTCATTTAGTAACTTTATTGCATGCACAAGATATCAAAACATGGGTTTGATAAAATACTAGAGCCTCTTGTCAAGGATATTTCATCACTGGAAACTAATGGAATTCAGATTCCTTTATTTTATCATGCCGTTTATGGAACCATTGTCCAAGTTACTGGTGACAACCTTGGTATTCATTCATTGTTTGGTTTTGTGGAATCATTCAGTGCTAGGTACTGTTGCCACTTTTGCCTGCTAGAGAAAGAACACTTTCAGACAGTGTTTTGTGAAGATAGTCCAAAAATTTCAGTGCGAACTAAAGAACTTCATTCAGAGCATTGTGAGAGAATGCAAAGCAATCCCAGTCTACCTTATGTAATGGGAGTAAAAAGGTCTTGCCTTTTAAATTCTTTAGAATATTTTCACACTACTGCTAATTTCTCAGTTGATATTATGCACGACATATTAGAGGGGGTTGCGCAATATGAGATGAAGTTACTCATTCAGCACTTGATTGACAATTACACCACATCAGCAGAAGTACAGAGAAGAATTCAGAGTTTTAATTATGGCTTCTTGGAACAAAACAACAAACATCCTGGTGTGGAATTAAAAGAGTCTTCCAATGACCTGGGCTTAAATGCCATTCAGAGCTGGTGTTTACTGCGCTACTTACCCATTATGTTTGGAGATCTTGTGTGTCCTAATGATCAGCACTGGTATTTGTTTATTTTATTGCTTCAGATCATCAACATTGTATTTTCTTCAGTTATATCCAGTGGAATAACCATTTATTTGAAGCATCTGATTTCGGAGCACCACAGTTTATTTAAGCATTTGTTTCCTGATCGGAACTTGTTGCCAAAGCGTCATTTTATGGTGCACTACCCCACTTGTATGCAGAAAATTGGACCAGTGTTACATTGTTGGTTTATGTGCTACGAAGGAAAACATAATGTTTTCAAAAAGCAGTTAAAAAACTTTAAAAACATAACAAAAACATTGGCAAAGAAACACCAGTGCCAAATGGCATATATTTGGCAAACATTTGATCCAAATTATGTGAAATTAGGTCCTGATAAAATGGTTCCCCTGAATGAAATGGAAGTTAGTGTTGAGATGGCTGAGAAACTTAATGTTCCTTTGTGGACTAAGGTCCTAAGTGTGAAATGGGTCAAGTTCTGTGGAAATACTTATCGCTCAGGTTTAGCAGTTTGCGTTAAATTTCAAAATGACATGCCTGTTTTTCATGCAATTCAGAATGTTGTTACCAGAGATGAGCGAATACTATTTATTACAACTGCACTGGAAACATCATGTTTAGTTGAACCTGTTCATGCCTACAAAGTTGCACAAACCATAGAAACGTGTTATGTTTTGGAGCTCAATGACATTTTGCAACACAAGCCGTTTGACATTGTAATGTCTTATGGTGGTGATTTTGATTTGTTTATTGTACCATATACTTTTATTTGATTTTTTTTGTTTGTTTTTCCGGGGTTGTCACGATACTGAAATTTAGTACCAATCGATCTGAAATTTTAAAAATGTCCTTTTCCCACTAACATTTGTTCACTGTTAGTTCAAGTGCTGATTTGCCATTGTGTATATGTGCTCAACAGAAATGAATTTTGATTGGCCGTGAAGGTCATCAATTCACCGAACTCACCGCTGTTTACTCAGTGTAACCACAGATACAGGGACACTGGAGCATTTCAAAGTCTTGTCGATCAGGTTTGTCTATAATCTGATATATGAATGATCCACTAATGAAAATGCTCCAGTGTCCCTGTGTCTGTGGTTACACTCAGTAAACAGCAGTGAGTTTGGTAAACTGATGACCTTCAGGGCCAATCACAGTCATTTCTGTTGAGCACATGAACAAAATGGCAAATCATCTGTGTTAATCACAGAATTAGAGGTAAAATAAATGTACTCAAATTGAACAGTACTAGAGACAGGTTAACTACAGAAAAAACAAACAAGCAAACATCTTAATGCTGATTTATACTTTTGTCTGGCGCCACATCGCACATCTCACGAAACAGACGAAGCTTTTATACTTGCTCGCTATGCACCGATTTCCTCTGTTTGTGGACAAAACTGACAAAAATGCTCAAATATAATACGCTGCGCATGTGTAAAATTTTCACACGCTTTCAAATATGCACTGCTCTAGCAAAATGTCTTGTGCGCTCTTAGTACTCTGCTCCTTCCTCCTTTCATGCTTTTTGATATGATTTATATTAGTACACTATTTATTACCAATAACCAAAATACTAAAATATACTTGCATATTACATTTTTAATATAATAAACCATAACTTTTTTGCCTGTATATGAGAAATTTCCAGTTTCAAACACAGAAAGTAGTTTTATTTTAAAAACATTTATTAAACATCCAAAAGGTGCATTATACTAATCAATTAAATAAAAAATATAACTAACACAAGCAGCCAGTGTTTTGAGGGCTCACGAGCAATTTTGTCCACAAACACAGCGAACCTCCGCAAACACAGCGATGACGTCACATTCGCCGCGTGCACAGAGTCAATAACAGAAAGCTTATTGACTATTGCATGTTGACCCTTATTTGAAGTTGTAATACCACAAATTACAATTGGACTAGTGAAATAAAGAACTACAACACCACGAAAACCTAGCAACAACAACAAAAAATAATTTAAATGACCATTAGATGTAGCTTCACATGGACATCGGAAAAATAAGATAGGTGCATAAATATTTAAGACCTAGAACAGCGAATTTAAGACTTTTTAAGGCCTTAAATTTCGATGTTCAAATTTTTTACTTTTTAAGACCCCGCGGAAACCCTGTATTTAGACAATTTAAAAATACTGTCGTTTTAAGAAATAATATGTTAATATTCAGTGAGATTTTGCTTTAAGTGAGTTTTTTTATTACGTTTGCTTATTATGCTTCTTGATTTAAGAATGTGTAGGTAATTGGACTAAAGCAGCAACTCTAATAAGGAAAAGCTTTTTTGCAATGTTTGTGTGTGCATTTGTGTGTGGATTAAGAACAACATCACACAAGTCATATTATTCATTCATTCATTCATTCATTCATTTTCTTTTAGGCTTGGTCCCATTATTACAATTCATATTACATAATTCAAAACATGTTTCATTTATGTTTTTATAAGACTCTTGGGGGTCCTTTACCTATCAAATGTTTTTTAGAATTCTTGTCTGGTTTTAATAAAATAACATAGCATTTAGGAATAAATATGCAGAACAAAAGTCCATAAGTGGAGGCTAAAATAGCAAAAATCTCCACTGCCACAGTGAATTTTCCAGGCGAACTAACATAAGCTGGTATGAAAGCAACCCAAACTGCACAGAATATGAGCATACTAAATGTGATGAATTTGGCTTCATTAAAGTTATCAGGGAGTTTTCGTGCCAGGAAAGCCAAAAAGAAACAGAGAATAGCAAGTAGCCCAACATAACCTAACACAGCCCAAAAACCTAATACTGATCCAACATTACACTCTAGAATGATCTTTTCTTTAAAGTATTTCACATTTTTAAAAGGAAATGGGGGTGATATTGTTAACCAAAGCACACAAATAAGGACTTGAATAAGAGTAAAGGCAAGAACACTGAGTCTCTGTTGAGGAGGACCAAACCATTTCATGACATTACTTCCTGGAAGTGTAGCTTTGAAGGCCATTAACACCACTATTGTTTTCCCCAGAACACAGGAAATACAGAGGACAAAAGTGATTCCAAATGCTGTGTGTCTCAACATACAAGACCACTCAGTGGGGCGACCAATGAAAGTGAGGGAACAGAGAAAACACAGCATCAGTGAAAAGAGAAGCAAGAAGCTCAGTTCTGAATTGTTGGCTTTCACTATTGGTGTATTTTTGTACTTGAAAAATATGACTGCAATTAGCATTGTTAAAAATGCACCAGCCACTGAAATAGTTGTGAGCAAAAGCCCCATGATCTCCTCATAAGACAGAAATTCAGTTTGCTTCCTAATACACTGATCCTTTTGTAGATTTGACCAAAAGTCTTGATGACACCGAAGACATGTTACTGAATCTGTTAATGGATAAAAACATGAATGCCAATTAATGGTCATGGTTAAGATCACGGTTTCGGTTTTATTCAGTTTTCATTGTAAAAAATCCCTATTTCAACACTTCGAAATCCCAGCTTTATAAGCTAACATTAACAGTATAAAAAATAAGTTATTCTCAAGCCCATGTGATAAAAAAATAAAGGAAAAAGGCAGCTTGACCTTATTAATAGATGCATTGTTTTAAAGAGATATGCCTATGTGTAATTTTGGGTGAAATGTATTGTCAGTGAGTACTTTCACTTTACACTCTTAACTGACAATTAAATATGGGTATTCTGAGGTGATGTTACATACATCAGATACTGTTTACGTATTGTGTCTTTTGCATGCATAAGTTTGTTGTTTCAAATGGAAATGTGTGACTTGTTGCATCATGTGGCTGTAATGAACTTGTGGTGAGTGAGTGGCTTTGATGAGGGACAGGCAAGAGAGAGAGAGAGGCACACACACGAGGTATCCATCTGATACACAGTTGAAGTCAGAATTATTAGCCCCCCTTTGAGATTTATTATTTGTTTTTTGTTTTTTTATATTTCCCAAATGATGTTCAACAGAGCAAGGAAATTTTCACAGTATGTTTGATAATATTTTTTCTTCTGGAGAAAGTCTTATTTGTTTTATTTCTGCAAGAATAAAAACAGTTAACAGTTTTTTTAAACACTAGTTAAATGTCAAAATAATTAGCTTCTTTTAGCTCTATTTTTTCATACAATATCTTGCCCACTTGTGTATTTATTTTTAATTTTTCAAACATTTCACAAGTGATGTTTAACATTGCAAGAAATTTTACTTCTTGAGAAAGTATTATTTGTTTTATTTCGGCTTGAATAAAAGCATTTTTAAACTTAACAAAAACATTTTAAGGTCAATATTATTTGCCCCCTTAAGCAATATTTTTTTTCTTCGTTTTTATGACTTACCTAATGACCCTAACTTGCCTAATTAACCTAGTTACACCTTTAAATTAAATACTTTAAGCTGAATACTAGTATCTTGGAAAAAAATCTAGTAAAATATTATGTACTGTCATCATGGCAAAGGGTAAAAAAAAATCAGTTATTTGAAATTGGTTATTTAATCTGTTATGTTTAGAAATGTGCTGAAAAAAAATCTTTCCCTTAAACAGAAATTGCAGAAAGAAAACATTAAGGGAGGTAATATTTTAGAAGGGGTGATAATACTAATTTTTTTAACTGTATGTGTGTTTGTGTTGTTTTATTTTTTATGGGTTTTGTGATTTAAATGTTACCTGTTGTATTACTGATCTCTCCCTCTGTGCACGAAATGCAGTCATAACAGCATATAGGTTTTCCTTTCTTAACAGCTTTTCTAGTACCATGGGGGCAGCTCTCACTGCACACAGACACTGGAACCTGTGACAGATTTATTAATGCATGTATGTATGTATATATATATATATATATATATATATATATATATATATATATATATATATATATATATATATATATATGAACGCTTGTTGTATGTATGTAAATAAACAACTGTTTTTCACCTTTGTTGAATTAATTGCCCAGAAAATGGATGACATATTGACAGCTAAACGATCCATCCCCATAAAAGAAGCATCATAAAACCCAACAGTCACAAATTCGTAATGTTGTTTTGTACTTTGCTGCCAGTTAATGATATCATATTTTGCCACTGGATCGCCATTCTCATCAAAGTAAACCTCCTCACCATCTTTGGTTTTGAAATGTACCTTTCTAATGTGCTTCAGAAACTATTCAGTGAGAGAGAGAAAGAACGTGAACATCAACAAGTGTTTAATATATTTAGCAGTCATAGCAACAACAACAAAAATGCAACTTATTTTGTTTGAAATAATGAAGTATTAGTATAGTAATTAAAGAGTGTTACCCACAGTTACAGGATCAGGCTGTTTCTTTAAGGCACATTTGTCTTTGCAGCCTAGAAGTTCATGAAGTGCATGAGCAACAGCATACACTCCTTTGTACACATTACTGAAAATAGGCATGAGCGACATATCTGTGAATAGGTTTTCTACTTGTGACAACTCTTCCTTGCCTGTACATGCATTTATGGAAACTGAAGTATCCTTGTTGGAATATTTACACTGAAACAGGGCTTCCCAGAACTCAGAAAAAATTGCACCACCAGAAGACTTTAGTGGTGTTATATTTAAAATGAATTCTTGTAGACCTGTCACTTTTGTTTTGGGTATAGCCAGACCAACAGCTCCTTGTAAAATGTGATGTGTATCCATGCTGGCAATGACTGAATCAGAGATCCAGGCTTCAGTGCCTACCCACTGGTATCCAGTAATATTATATTCAACAAATTTATGCAGCAGCACCTCCAAGTCCCAGTGAGCAAGAAATCCTACAATAACTCGTGAAGTAGAGCTTTTAATCTGTTCAATTATCCTCATTACTTTATCTTCAGTATATGTTCTGAAAAATGGGAGAGAATATTCCAAACAGATTCCCATCTGTTCAGCCACCTTAGTAAAAGTTGCCATCCCACTGTTGCCATAATCATCATCTGTTCTTAAGGCTCCAACCCAGGTCCAGCCAAAGTGTCTAACCAGTTCTGCCAGTGCTCTGCTCTGGTAGTGGTCACTTGCAATAGTTCGAAGAAATGAAGGATACTTCACCTTGTCACTAAGACACTCACAGGTGGCATAGTGACTGATCTAAGACGTTAATTTACAAAGAAGAAGCAAAAAAACAATATATTTAATTATAACATGCAGTGTTTAATTAATTCAATAATATGCAGTATTTTCAGCTTCAAAATATCTTCATTAGTGTACAACAGAATAAAATTCACAAAAAAATAAAAATAAAAAATTCAAAGCACATTGCACATTGTGAAAAAATACATTACAGCTTATTTTTATATAATGGATACCAATGGAAGCTTGAATGGCCCGATACTCTTTGTTATTGCCATGCAAGCTGATGAAGTTGTGTCCCCTAAAATGGCTTGAACTTCAGCATGCTTTGTGCAGGGCCCTTCAACAGATATTTTCTCATGCCCATTTGCAAGGGCCATAGCGGCTCGAACCCCAACTGCCACTGAGCCACATGTGTCATAGATCTTGTAGCCTAATGAGACCCCGGGTAGCAAAGTGGAACTGTTATTAATTTCCTCTATGGCAAAAAGCATTGATTGTGCATACTGGAAGTCTCTGAAATTAAGACTGGTTAAAAACAAAGCAAAAGTATTAAAAAACTGTGGACTATTCATGTAACATTAAACATGTACAAAAGCTTCAACTGATTTACTTACCTGATGCATTTTAGTGGAGGTGGCACAAAGGTGTATGTCAGCTGCCTGACTTCCCAGCTGCTATGGAAAGAGAAAACACCTCCAACTATGATGTCCCCATCTTTCCATAATTCAGGGAGTACTGGCTCTCCTTGTAGTGTACAGGTAGTTTCATTAGCTTTAGAAAAAGTCATGATGGCTATCACCATATGCAGCAGTGCAACTAGTGGCTCCATACACCTAATAAAACTATCATATGACAAATATACCTTGCTCTGGTATTTCAGATAATAGAATGCATCAGAGGTCTTTATAGGGATCTTATAGTCCTTAGGGAAATGACATAGGCCATAGTAATGCGAAGGAGGTCCCACATTTTGACCGACTGATGACACAAAATAATATGAATAAAATAAAACATTGTTTTAAAATATGTTTTAAGCTTTGCTGATCCAAAGTTAAACTGTTTTGAAGGTTTGAAGCAATAGCAAAGTAAATGTCTGTAAAGGTGTGATTGACAGATTGATAATGGAGCGGAGTTGCAGATTTAGTTCATACAACACTGGAAAACCCCTGTTTGATCGCTGTGCTTTTTTCCTCACATTACCTGTAACAAATGCTGCAGGTGAGTGGTCATTCACAAAAACTGGCCTAAGCTGCAATCAGTGATGGGCAGGAAAAACTTCTGAAGCCACTTGAAAAAGTACAATAGTCATGTATATATATATATATATATATATATATGTGTGTGTGTGTGTGTGTGTGTGTGTGTGTGTGTGTGTGTGTGTACTATTAATCACATTTAAAAGACTAAAACTTGTAATTTTGGCTATTCAAATGCAAAATTAATACAAAAGCAAGACAAAAACTATTTAAATTCAAAATATAATTGTTTATTAGAATTTGTGTTTAACTTGTAACACAGATTTCTTCATGTAAACAACAAACCCACAATAAACCATCAAGATCCTGGCTTGACAGCCATATTTATTACAGAAATTAAAACAGGCATGTTAGTGCCATTTGAATTTCAAACAATCAATGCCAATAAAGAAAAAAAAAATATTTCCAAGTTAAACTCTAAGTGGACTGCAAAAAAAATGCCAAAATACAGGCATTGCAGACATGGAAAATGGAAAGTTATAATAATAATAATAATAATAATAGTAATAATAATAATAAAGTATTGAATACAGACAGTTGTACTCATTGTAAAGTTGTATTGCTGTGAGTTGAGAATATTAATTATAAAGTAGAAACTATTTTTCTCAGTCCTTTACATTCATGTATTTGCTAAGACTAGGAGTATCCCGCAAATGCACTCTCCACCGCATCACTCCTAGCTCTTCAGGTAAGTCACACGCAATTCAATTCAATTCAGCTTTATTTGTATAGCGCTTTTACAATATAGATTGTGTCAAAGCAGCTTCACATAAATGGTCATAGTAACTGGAACAGTGTGGTTCAGGTTTTAGTGTTTTAGTTCAGTTCAGTTTAGCTCAGTTCAGTGTGATTTAATCATTACTGAGAGTTCAAACACTGAAGAGCCAATTCATCGATGCGTAGCTCTACCAATCCTGAACCATGCGAGGCAGTGGCGACAGCGGAGAGGGAAAAAAAACTTCACCTGATGGGAGTGAAGAAAAAAAACCTTGAGGGAACCAGACTCAGTTGGGCACGACCATTTTAATTTCTCCGCTGGCCAAAAGTCTTGTGCAGAGCTTCATTCGCTGTGGTTAAGGCTGGAAGATGGCCTCAGCGAAGGCTCGTCTGTCCCTGGAACGTCGCTGGAATCAGACTCATGTTCTCCACTCCCCACGACCATCAGCGCAGCAGCAGCTCAGGATATGGCCTGGTCCCCGATATGGAATCCTTGGGATCATCACGTCGCTGGTCTTGGATCCAATCAGTGACTCCGCATAATCTGAGGACCTCGGGATGAGTATCCCCAGGTGAAAATAGAGAATAAAGAGAATAATTAGCGTAGCTGCTGTTCATAGTGTATATAAGCAAGATGCAGAAGCCAGTGTGGAACCCGCTAGTTGATGCATTGAGTGTATGCTTTACTAAACAGATAGGTCTTTAATCTAGTTTTGAACTGGGAGAGTGTGTCTGAGCCTCGGACGTTATCAGGAAGGCTATTCCAGAGTGTAGGAGCCATGAAAGAGAAGGCTCGACCTCCTTTACTTGATTTTGCTATTCTAGGTACTACCAGAAGCCCTGAGTTTTGAGATCTTAAAGAGCAAGTTGGTTTGTAGCGAGACAGAAGGTTGGCTAGATAAACAGGAGCTAGATTATTTAGAGCTTTATAGGTGAGAAGTAATATTTTAAATTCAATACGAAACTTAACAGGCAGCCAGTGTGAGGAGGATAAAATTGGGGTTATATGATCGTATTTTCTAGACCTGGTCAGAACTCTGGCTGCTGCATTTTGTACTAATTGAAGTTTGTTAATAGAGGATGCTGAGCAGCCAGCAAATAGAGCATTACAGTAATCCAGTCTCGAAGTCATAAAAGCATGGACTAGCTTTTCTGCATCTGAGATGGATAGCATATTTCGTAATTTAGCGATATTTCTCAGATGAAAGAAGGCAGTTTTTGTGACATGGGATATATGGTTTTTAAAAGTTAGATTGCTGTCTAATATGACACCCAGATCTTTTATAGTAGAGCTAAAACTAACTTTGTATCCCTCTAATTGTAAATTGAGTTGCGAGATCAATTGAGTTGCAAGATCACTCTCCCCCACCGCTCTTCAGTTACGTCGCATGCGCACAGGCCTCTACTTAGATTCGTCGCTCACTCAAGCCCTGACACCCCTCAACGGGCCTGACAGACACACACACACACACAGACAGACACACACACAACACGCTTGAGCGACTCCCTACTGATTGAACACGCATGATCGCGTTGCTAAATGCTAGTTGCTAAAACCAAGCCATAGATATATACATTAGATATCGCATAGCGACCCTGAGCATGCGTCAATAGTGCCGCCACATTGGTACAGTGCTCCCAGGACGAGTGTCATTCAACCGCATTAGTCATGAAGGTGTTATTACGTGAAGATGTGGGACTAGCACTGTCTACATGTGTAGTAACGAGCAAACAAAGAAAACAAAGTACAAAGGCAGAACATTTTATAGGTAATATTAAGGTTTTTTTTCTGTTTTTGTATGTTCTGAACTTTTGTGCTAATCAGGTAACGTTATTGATGATAACAGTCACTTACTGCATTCACCATACGGCAAAGCAGCTTCAACTCGCACTAAACACTCGGCTTATGCTAGTTTTGTTGAATAAAATCAGCAAACAATGCAAAAGAAATATGACAACGAGATGCTGCGCTGCCAGAAACTTGTATTATTGTCCGCTAACGTTAGTGAAAGAGTCGTTCGGGAGATTCATTCACAAACGAATCACTCCCTCCGTCAGTATGAGAAGTGAAAGCAGGAGAGGAGGTGTGTTTCAGGACACGAATTAAGTTAGATTAAATTTAACAGGGAGGGTGAATAGTACATTTCTGTAATTAGAAAAAAATTACATACTAACATCCAGGAAAACTCCCGATCATAGATATATGTGTATATCTCTGGCTTTGGATGGCCACAGTCCTCCACTGTACCTTGGTCCCGCATTCATTTCAAAGGAGCGGTACCCTGTAGCAAGATGGCGGCGCTATTGACGCATTCCATCCAATAGACAACAATAGGCCAGGCGACATTTAGTGTACATATCTATGAAACTAAGCGTTCTTACGTATGCCTATATTTCACAAGGATTTTGACACAACAACGTGAAGTAAACGCTTTTGTTGCGTTTAATGAGGAAACACGTTAAACTTAATGAAACATTGGAGGGCTCATGCTGAAAGGCAGAGTCTTTGACAGCTCGCGACTTCACCAGAGACTTTCTGAGAACATTTACATGAGACACCAATTCTCTGATTTTAATATGATTAAGATAATACTCTTATTAAGAGTCCACTGTGTAAGCAGCGATTTGATTACCTCAAAGGAACACCAAGTCACGAAATTCTGAGGTTTTTCTTTCCGTTCACCATGCGGTATCAAATTACATTAAAACAAAAGTCGAAATTTCAAAATGAAACATCCCAACTTGCATGAAACTCTGGAGAGCCTGGTGATGCCACATTAATTGTTTTAAACTAAAACTTGCCTTCAAAAACTGCTTCCTTGATCTTATACATATTTCTTTGGATGTTGAACACACGTCTACCACAATAGGAAGTAAAAAAAAAAAAAACCCTGCAACTGCGTTAATTGCGTAATTTTTTTTTTATTTTAATGTGTTAATTATTTAAAACTGATTGCATGCGTTAACGCACTAATTTTGTCAGCACTAATATATATATATATATATATATATATATATATATATATATATTAGGGGTGTAACGATACACAAAAGGCACGGTTCGGTTCGGTTCACGGTTTTGGAGCCTCGGTTCGGTACGGTTCGGTTTCTGTTTGCTGTGGGGTTAGGGTTGATGTCATGTTAACAGCAATGCTAAGGGACAATTTACTTAATAAAAAGAACATCTTAACTTTTTCTTTATTAACTTTGTCATCGCATTTTTAGTACAGTCAGGATACCCGAGTAAACAACTAGAATTAAATAAATACCTCCAATATAGACTAGTCAGAAAAAAAACTATTCTCTTTAGTGCAGCCATCTTAACTAAGTAAACTAAAATTAAATAAATAACTGCAGTGTAGACTAGTGAAAGATCTTCTTCAAAAACACCATAATATCCACATTCTCCGATGAGAGACTTGATCTCTGTGCAGACACAGACGCTCATTTTTGATTATATGGTTTCATTTAGATAGATAGGTTTCCGTTTAAATTGACGAAAAATATACATATAATGTGTTTGTAAAGTGTTTTTTCATGACATATTCACCAGTAAAATATATTGCGGTTGTGTCTGAAACTAATGTTAGGGTTGTAGCCGGCTGTATGTTTGCCTCCCGATCTCTCTCTCTCTCCCGCTCCCTCTATGCCGGTCATTTATGTAGGTCCGCCTACATGACAGCTGATGCCTGTCATTTCTGTAGGTCCGCCTTTTTGACAGCTGATTGGTCAGGAGACCGATCTATCATCATTTGGTGACGCAGCGCGGGAATGTAAAAAGCATGTCAAGAAGAGCGGGAGAGAGAGCGCTTTTTCCTTTGATCTCGTTTTTCGTGTATTTTTCTGACATGATTATGATTTTCGTTGTTTTTGCTTAACTTTCGTTTGGGTAAAATTATTTTGCATTACTTTTGCCCACTTTAAGAAATTTTGTGAGGTTTGTACATTTTTATTTCAATTGATTCGTATATTATCCGCTCCTTCCCGACAATATAGCTGTATCTCCTCAAGTTCAGTCTTAGTGTAAGGTGGATAGGGAAATGTCATACGATTTCCATTTTGCAAACACGTAGAAAATGTCATCAGGTAAGAGGTGAAGGTCATCTTTGTTTATTTTATTCAGTATATGGAAGAATGCGGCACACGGCGCTGAAGACCTTTTTTTCCTTTTCATCAGTTTTAGCGAGGTAAGAGGGGTTATTCATGAGTTAGAATTGTTTTATTATATTTATTTCTTTTGTTTGTCTTCACTATCACCCCCTTACACCCTCACATTGTGAAATTACCACACTTTTTAAATGTTTTTCCCTACAAGTAAGTTTCGTGAAACAGTTGAGACAGACAGGCAGGCGCTTTGTCTACGACACGAATTCTATTCCTGTACTCAACTGGAAAACCAAAATGTTTCCACACAGATGACTTAAATGTGTCTGGGGGATCTGCAATCTCAGTACTATGTGAAGCAGCCATCCTGCGTCCAGTAGTAACGAGTGTGATGCTTACTCAAGTCACATGACATATTATGCACTAAAATACTAACTTTAGAATATAATATTTAGAACAAATCCTCATCATTACTAAAACAATTTAATCAAATATGATATTAAAGATGTGTTTAAATAAGTTCAATTAGTTAAAGACAAGTGATGTCAACCTCAACAATGGGCAGCAGGGGGCGTGAGAGTACCGCGGTACGCCACGAGAGTTTTGCGATACGTATCGTGGTTGGTGTATCGCGATATTTCGGTTCGGTTTTAATATCGTTACACCCCTAATATATATATATATTATTTTTTTTTTTTTAGTGCGTTAACGCACGTGATTAATTTGAATGCAAATAACCCAGTTGCAATCTTTTTATTTCCTGTTGTGGCCGATGTGTGTTTAACGTGCAAAGAAATATGGATAAGATCACCAGGCTATCCATAGTTTCCTCCAGAGTTAATTTCGGGTGTTTCATTTCTTCATTTCATTTTATATTTTAACTGCAGTTCAGCAATTCACTTTCATTCATAAACATGTTGTTCATGCTCCCTGACAATTATTGGATGAAAATATGAAGTAACAGCTGCTGGAGTGCTGGTTTAATGGAATTTGAAACCGGTGGGTGGGGAACGGAAAATAAAACCTATGCATTTTGAGACTCAGGTTGTCCTTTAAGGCAATCAAAAATCGCTGTTTAGATAGTAGACTCTTAGGGTGCTTTCACATATGAAGTTCGCTACATTTGATCAGGACCAAGGGCAATAAATGATACATTGAAGCATTTTCTGCCGTCTTTGGGTCATTTTCACACCACACTGCTGGCTTTGGTCCGAACCAGATGAAAAGAACAAAAATACACTCATCTGACAAAATCCACATCACTCATTGGCAGTGGCGGCTGGTCAATAGGGGGCGCTGGGGCGCCGCCCCCCCTTCAAGTTAGCCTACTTTAATATGTTAATATTTATTATCACAAATATTAACAAAATAAATTGATTTAATGATAACACTCTACAGTTAGTCATACTAACATTTATTGAAAATAAAAAAAATGTATGAACAATATTTTTTCATATGTGTGCGGGGCGCCGGACTAATGAGTGTCTATGTAGATACACGAACTTTTGCAATACATGTGATATGACAAAAAGCTCTAATTGGCCCGTTTTAAATTGTCCTTGGGGCGCAGCACTCTGCGCCCCGAACCCGCCCATTTATGTTGTCAGAACGAATCATATTTGTTTTTATATGGTTGGCCTTATGTGATTGGACCATTCCCACTTGGACCTTTCACTTAGCAAGCAGCTCCTCAGTTAACTGACGACTATTAATCATAGTGGAAGCAAGTGCAATTTCTCGAAATGAAGGAAAATTCCGTTGTATCTTTGCAAAGATATCCATTCACAAGGCGTTTGGATGAAGAAAAAAAAAGAATCAAGGAGCTTGGACCAGATCGACCTTCCTTGCAAATTCAACAGCAGTCAAGTGATCGTGGGCGCGCGTACACTCGGGGCTTTTCCAGCACTTGTTATGACAAACGGAGCTGGCTGGCAGGTTGTGATGTAAGTCATGCCTTTTACTGTTTCCCGTGTTTGCTGTTTCAAAGTCCTGGCACCGAAACGTTGTGGAAAACAACAGGGGTTCGCGATTTAAAACACCTTTCTGAAAAGTGCAAGCGTCATGAAAGTAGCCGAAGCCATCTTGACAACGCTATGAGGCTCCAGTTTTTTGGGAAGCTTAGCATTGCCCAACAGCTAGATGAGGGCTACAGGATTGGCATTAGAAGGCACAATGAAGAGGTTAGGAAAAATAGACACATCCTGTCTAGAATAATAGACTGTGTTAAATTTTTTGGTGCGTTTGAGCTGGCTTTGCGTGGCCATGATGAGAGCGAGAGCTCGGATAACCCCGGTATCTTCCGTGGCCTGGTCGATTTTGTTGCTTCCCTTGACGGAGTTTTAAAAGAGCACCTCGACAATGCCACTGTGTTTAAGGGAACTTCAAAAACCGTGCAGAACGAGCTGTTGGACTGTATGTTGTCTGTTGTGAGGGAACACATAATTGAAGAGGCACAGAGCAGCAAATTTCTCTCAATCCAGGCCGACGAGACCACCGATATTTCCACACAGTGTCAACTTGTGCTTGTGTTGCGGTACATTGACTCAAAAAACAACGTACAGGAGAGATTTTTTGAGTTTATTCCTCTGCGTTCAAGTACAGCTGATTCCATCTCCACAGTACTTAAAGAACGTCTTTCTGTCATCCTTCCTGGGGATCAAAAGAATAAACTCATCTCGCAAGCGTATGATAGAGCCAGCGTGATGAGGGGTGCCACGGCAGGTGTTCAAAAAAAAATCCAAGATGTGTACCCAAATGCCCATTACATCCACTGCTATGCACATCAACTCAACCTAATAATGCAACAGGCCACTTCTAACATTTCCAAAGTGAGAATTTTTTTTTCTGACCTTGGAGGATTTTCCAGCTTTTTTTCAAGTTCACCCAAACGCACAGACGTCCTTGATAAAGTAGTGGCCCATAGACTACCAACATCAAGCAATGTTAGGTGGAATTTCCACAGCCGTGCCATCAATACAGTGTTTGAGCACAGATAGGACCTCATGCGCTGTTTTCAAACATATCGAGACTCGGGGGACTTTGACCCTGTTGCTGTCAGAGAGGCAGGAGCCTTTGCCATGCTGCTGGAGAATCAGGATTTTAATTTTTTCTTGCGACTTTTCCACAACATCATGCCACATGTGGACATCCTTTATGCCAAACTCCAGAAGAAGGACATCGATTCAGTCCACATCAGGGGGAGCATCCAGCAATTCCAGCAGGACATACAGAAGATCAGGTAGTTGCTGTTTTTTTTGTTTTGGATTTATTATGATTATTACTAATATTATTATTATTATTATTATTCATACACTTTCTTATTCCTTTACAGAAATTCTCTCCATTCCCTGGTTGACCAATGCAGTGAAGGTGGTTTTCAACAGAAGAGGCGGCGGTCCCTCAGTCCAGAGGTTCATGAACAGATAGCAGCAGAAGTGAGTTTTTATTTTAATCAAAATAAGTCATTACAAACAAGCTAAACTGTATTGTTTAATTACCTTCTATGGGAACTTGTAAATATCCTTTTCATTGATTTTAAGATAAAAATAATAATAGAGCAATTCCCTTCAAATGTTAACCTTTTCATGAAAAAAATTAAGTTCTCAACAAAATACCGAAACTGTTTCTGTGTTTTTTGTTTGTGTGTGTGTGTGTAAGCAAGTATTTTACAGTTCTTTAGACATACTCAAATGTCTCTGTCAATGTTTTTAAATTTTTTTATTTATTTACCCAAGTCACATAAAAGGCAATTTCACATCCGTCACACTCATAATACAGAGGTGTCAAATCCATAACTAAGCTTTTTCCTCATAAATGAAAAATTATCAAATAAAATCAATCATGTTTGTTTTATAGAAGAAAAAAAACCCTTAACCTCCTGCTTAGCATTATTTTGGGGGGTTTTGCAGTTTAACAGACAGAATTTCTATTAGGCCTGTTGTATACTGCAAACTCACAGACTTCTTTTAGTTACATCCATAACTCCTTTGTTTATTTTCCTCTTTTAAAGTACAAAACATGTTTACAGATTGATATTAAGCTGATCTTATAGCTACGTGGTCAGTAGTTTTGGAAAATATAAACAGATATTTCAATATAATGTTAACATACTTTCTCTGTGAATTTATGTTTTGAGTTTTTACTGCAAATGCCACATCCATAATGCTGGAACTGCTCAATAATAATTTGAGGAGTAATAATATTGTAGTCACCAAAACATTTACTCAGAGATAGTAAATGAAACAATACAGTTTAATTTGTTGCAAGCACACTGGCTTGTTTATATGATACAATGACCAGGTCTTTTTCAAATAGGAGTCTTTAAGTGTCTCATTATAGAAGCATTATATAAAAATAGTTGATAAGAATTTTGAATCTAAGTGTTGTTGATTTATAAGCTGGGAATAGTGGGCTGTATAAAACTATGATAAATGTAAATGCATTTTTATGACTAGGTGATCTTCTTAAACGTATATACTCTTTAAACTATTATCTAAAATGATTTGTTATTCTTCAGTTTCTTCTAGAGGAGCTTGACATGTTTACTAAGAATGAATGTGTTTATGAGGTTTTGAGAAAGTATGAATTTAACCACTACAACTGGTCTGCCTTTATAACTCAACCTGGTTATTTTAATGTAGCAGTTGAAATTGACACATAATTACATCATTTTTGTCTTTATCCTTTAGGTCTGTGATACCATACTCACACACACACTGGAGCGGTTCTCCTTCACAGACCACCTCGTTAGTGCCACATTGCTGCAGGCAGACAGGTTTGAGCAGTATACAGTAGCTTTTCCAGAAGATGCACTTAGCAGGACTCTGAAAGCCTATTCTGTGCTCGATGGAAGTAAGCTAAAGACAGAGCTCAGTCTCATCTACTCCAAGGATGAGTTCAGAGCCTGTTGTGGTGCTTTGGACCTACTCCAGCTGTTTATGGAGAACAATCTTGAGGAAGTCTTTTCAGAGACTGTAACTTTCCTAAAGATTCTGGTAACTATGCCTATGACCACAGCAGAAGCTGAGAGGTGCTTCTCAACTTTGAAAAGAATAAAAACTTTTCTGAGAAACAGCATGACCCAAGAGAGGCTGAATGCATTGGCCATGCTGTCAATAGAGAAGAGACTAGTGACTGAGATGACTGACTTCAACCAAAAGGTCATTGAGAAATTTGCAAGCCAGAAAGAAAGGAGAGCAAAATTTATTTTCAAGTAGTGCTACTGGCCAGTGATTAGGCAACATCTATGTGTGTCTGTGCATGTGTTTATTGATTACTTCATTACTGATAATAAACCTAAATTGAACTAAAATTTTCTGATTTATGAAGCATTTGTTGTATGCTTTAGTCATATTTTTGTTTTTTCATACATCACCTGATAAATGGCTTTTACACTGTTGCATTACCAACCGTTAGGTCAGTTCTGGTGTTTGCGCCCCCCCACATTTTTTTAGCACCAGCCGCCACTGCTCATTGGCCAGATGATGTTGAACATAATTCCTAAACTGCTTATCGATTGGTCAGAATTTATGTGCCGGAAAATGTCAATGAACTCCTCCAAGTAAACAAAATGTCAGGCAAAAAATGTTGCTTTTTACTATTTAGGGAAGACTGTTCTGACTGATTGTATCCCTGGCCATAGTATACTACATAGTTTGCATACATCACTTTAGAAAAACTATACATTTTAAGAATGAAGCACGGCTGCGGCTGGAAAACAATGTTTTAATGCATCGCACGTCACTTCAGAAGAAGCCGTGAATTAATTTGACTAAACTGCGACATGGTCATCTTGCGGAAATATTACCAACGATCCATCAGGTAACACTTTCCCTCTTTCGGTTGGTAAAGCGCTGTCAATAAATATTTTTCTCCGTATCCCATAATGCACAGCGCATCGTCCTACAGCAGCTGGATTAGTCCAAAAGGGGCAGTACTTTTTTTCGGTTGGGCCTATTTTAGTACGAATCATATTCTCACCGCAAACTAACTGCTACAGGGTTCGTTTGAAAGCGTACCGAGACCACCTCTTCCAGCACGTCTCGGTACGCTTTATTGGTCCGCTTTTGGTGCGCACATGAGTATGATTGCTGCATTCACACCTGCCCAAACGAACCGCACCAAGAGGGAAAACGAACTCTAGTGTGATGCAAACAAACTAAATTTGGCAGGTGTGAAAGCCCCCTTACCCATTACCGTAATCATCGAAGTATTGGTGTCCATATTATTGTACTCAGTAAAAGTGCCAGATGATGTCACAAGCTGTCAAAGACAGCCCATTTATCTGCCTTTAAGTTGATTCCAGCACCCTCAAATGTTTCATGGTAACACTTTACAATAACAGTAAATAAATAATGATGTATTAATATGTAAACTAAACATTACTTTATTATGAATTAATGACGAGTTAAGGTATGCACTAATCATGAATTAACTTTTTCTAGAACATGAGTTCATGTGTAAATAATGACTACCTTAATTACTTTTTAGTACATGCTGTTAATTAATGTATTAATTAACATTTAAGTTTAAGCTAAATGTAACCAACATGAACTCATGAGCTGTTAATGTATAATTATGTCATGACTTTACTCAGAGGGGCACATTACTATTAACTCATCCTTAACTACTCATGAACTCCTGTTCATGTTGATGTTGACAGAACACTTTTCTATTGTTGTTTAGTGTAAACTCACTAGTTGGACGTGCATAAGGAGTTCATGAGTAGTTAAGAATCGGTTAATGATGATGTGCCCCTCCAAGTGAAGTCACAACATAATTATACATTAACATATCATGAGTTCATCATGGTAAATTAGGCATAAACTAGTGTGGTAACATTCATGTACTAAAAAGTAATTAAGGTAGCCATCATTCACACATGAACTCATGTGAATCATGTTGTAGTTAAAGTTAATTCATGATTAGTGCATACCTTAACTCATCATTAATTCATTAAAAAAATATGTTTTGTGTACATATTAATACATCATTATTCATGTACTATTGTAAAATGTTACCTGTTTCATTAAGTTTGACGCGTTTCCCCTCTACACGCAACTTTTGTAAATCGCCTGCTTCATGTTGCTGTGTCAGAATCCCTGCTTGTAATATACAGCCTTACTTTAGAATACTTAGGTTAAGCAAATTTGATGAATGCAATCGTGCGTATTGATGAATCTGCCACTTCTCTACAATCGCTGAAAAATGTATTAGTAATACTAAACTTTCCTTCTGCCCTAATGATATCATCCACCCTGAATTTATAAAACAAATCATTCACACTGTTGACCAAAACTTGACTTCCTTTTTCAATAAGTGCCTCTCTACTGGCTCTTTTCCCAATGAACTTAAAATGGCCACTGTCACTCCTCTTTTCAAAAAGCCTTCACTGGATCCCTATATTCTGAATAATTTTCGCCCTATGTCTGTCTTACCATTCTAAGATTTTAGAAAAAATTAAACTCGATCAACTGCAATCGTTTTTAAAAAGCAACTATATCACTGAAATTTTTCAGTCGGCGTTTAAAATGGCTCATAGCACTGAAACAGCCCTCCTCAGAGTGTTGATCACTCTTTTCTGCTGTCCAGATTAGAGTCAGTTGTGGGCTTGAAAGGCATAGTCCTTAAGTGGTTTAAGTCTTTTCTTTCTGAAAGAAAGTTTTCAGTTAAATTAGGTTTCTCATCCTCATTTGCTGATCTCACTTGTGGCCTCCCTCAAGGCTCAGGCTTAGCTCCCTCACTATTTTTCATTATATATGCTTTCGCTAGGGGCCATTCTAAGAAGTCATGGGGTGGCTTTCCATTTTAATGCTGATGACACCCAGGTTCACTTAGCTATAAAGAGGGATGACCCTCTCGCACTTAGTACCTTACTAAGTTGCTTAAGCCTAGTTCACACTACAGGATTTTAAACATCAGCAGATCGCTGTGCCGTTCACACTACATGACTTGACTTTGTGTCTTAATCTCTTTGGTGTTCACACTAGGCAACACTCTGTGAATGATCCACAAGAGGGGGGTCACACACTACATGATCTGACAACAACTCATTCCCCAACAGCTCATTCAAGCTACCAAACCACAGCCCATGAAATTTTGAGGGAGGAGTCATCAGAAAAAGCTGAACACTACTGGCTGCTTGTGTGCTGATTACATCACTGACAGCGTTTCAAGCTTTGGAGAAATCATTTAAAAACATTGTCAAATCAGCTGATTTATCAGTGGATTAATCACTCATCTGCAAGGTTCGAGTGGATAGATACACAGAGAGTTTTTAATTTTTGTAATTGTATAACTCTTTGAAATAAAACTAACAAATAACACCCTGCCGTTTTCTAACTATCAGTGTATTTCTTTCTGACATTGTTGTATATATTTTTTTATTACAAAACAATAAAGAACTGAGCATTTCTGCCTTAAATTACCATATTGGTCAAAATGACTGCATGCATGTCTGATACGTTTCGTGACTTTAAATATGTGTGCTTTTTTTTGCCAAGCAACTTCCTGCTAACATAACCAAAACTTTCTGATGTCAAAAACATCAATTTACTTCAGATATCTTTCAAAACAGCATATTCTGTGATGCGAAATAGCTCCTGTTTGAAAGTGAAAATGAAAGCCAAGACCTTTGCATGTTCTAGTATCTTAACCACATATTTATAGGCTGTATTACCAAAAAAAATTATACTTTTAGGGTAATGGTGTCATTAAATATGATCCCAGACATTCAAAGCTTAATTTTAATATCTCAATAATAGCTTTGAATGTAAATATGTTGTGACAATATGGCGTTTTATATGAGAACGGTCAGAATGAGCAGTATGGTAATTCTAATAGTTACAGAATTCTAGTTCCACTGTTAATATACCCTACTCTCATGTCTGTGTTAACACAAAATGAAGCGAGGGCGTTGATGCCCATTCTGACCAATCACAGATGTTTCTGTTGAGCTCCTGAGCACACAGGCATTCAGCTCATGCTGATATGCTCTCTCATTGGCTGCAGCTCCTCACTACATCGGACCACACGTGGGGTTGAGTTGGCCGACTGCTCTGGAATATTTAGCATGCTAAATGTTGGATTTCCGTCTGCGAGGTGTCGGCGACACGTCAGCGAGCCTCGTTGATGCGTTGTTCAGTAGTTCACACATAAATCACAGCCCGATCTGTCGGCGAGCTCGTTAACTTACAAATCGGGCTCAAATCAGGCTTAAAATCTTCTAGTGTGAACTAGGCTTTAAATGAGATCAAAATCTGGATGTCCCCCATTTTTTATCATTAAATGAGAATAAAACAGAGGTGATTGTCTTTAGCCCTACTGATAACGTTCAGGCCTCTTGCCTAGATTTGGGCAGCTTATCTGCCTTCAGATCGCCCCGTGTCCGCAATCTGGGTGTCATCTTTGATAAGTCTTGAAACTCGGCAAACAAATCAATTGGCTCCAGTTTTTTATCAACTACATCTGCTGTCTAAAGTTAAACACTTTTTAAATCCCATCACTCTTAGAGATGGCTGCCCACGCATTCATTACATCACGGTTAGTGTACTGCAGTGCACTTTACTGTGGCATGTTAAAATCCCAGGTTTCTCGCCTTCAGTTGGTCCAAAATGCTGCTGCTATAGATTTTTTTTTTTTTTAATTATTATTATTATTATTATTTTGCGCTTTGCAAATTTATGTTTGCTTTTTTGGCAAAACTTTTTATGGGGCTGTGCTTACCAGTGATTCATTCTTATTGGCTCTTGAGATTTTGATTGGCAGTTTGTTGAACTAAAAGTGTTGTTTCAATGCTTGCAAAACATCCAAATAAGAGGTCTTGAGAATTGTGTACAAAGATATTATGTCCAGCTATAGGAAGGCTCTAAAATTTGGCAGGGCTGAGCACTTCTGTAAACTGATAGAAAATAACCGTAACAATCCTAGATTTTTAATTGATACTGCTGCTAAACTAACATATTATCAGTCATCATCAGAACAAATTTCCCAGTGATGGGATGCAGCTAGAAAGGCATCCAGTGAATAAAACATATGCTGGATAAGTTGGCGTTTCATTCATCAGACTAACGCCTGTTTCACACCGCAAGCGTCAGCGGCGCGTGAGCAGAGCGTGAGCAGCGCGTATGTCGAGCAGTAGCAGTACGCAGGCTTTGCCTTTCACACTAGCTGCGTCTGCAGCGCGCAGCTCTTCGGCAGCTGCTGCTGAGATTAACCTATCTGTCTATTCTATCTAGTTACCCATGTCTCTCTATATACAAATACACTTTTTAAACTTTTCATCTGCACCAAGGCCCCTCCTATGCTGTTTCATCAACCTGCAAATGTTTATTTTACAAATTTTATAGATCAAATAGTACTGTATGCTTCTCAAGAGAAGTGTCTACAGTCAGAAGACAATCGCCTGTGATATCATGTCATTTGTTTTTTGATTATCAGGTTGCTGTAGACCTAGTTATAATCATATTTATACAATATAGTTATAATGATATTTATACATGATCAAACTAGTGTTACTTTCTCCGCTTCAGTGATGTCCAGCGGCAGAATAAAAGCTCGTTAATTCATGCTCGTGCAGATGATGAGACGGACAAAAGTAATTAATGCATGCCATTCTTTTACTTATTTTCGTGTTGTCAGATTCACAGTGCAAACAGCTCCCGGTAGGAATAATTCGAGTGAACATATAACAAAGCCGATTAAAACTTTCTTGCTCTGCTCAGCTGCACAGAACACAGCGAGCTCACATAATCCAGCATGCGTGTCGCACTACACTACCCACAATACACTTCGCTATGGACTACAAATCCCGTAAATATTCTATTTCCCCTCTCCTACAACACTAGTGTGCAACTTAAGCAAAACTGATACTAAAATTGTTTTACATTCGGTTTTGTAGTTCGGGCCTAAATAAATGTTTGTTGCCGTTTTTCATCGTTTTAAGTTAATTTGAATGACTATATATAAACCATTTGACATTATTAACGCATTTATTGGGTAAAATTGCTACTTTTTACTGTCATTCAATGTGTTTTGGTCATTATCAATGCACTGTCACTTTAATTGAGCGTGAGCAGCGCGTCAAAAATAGACCCAGCGCCGAAACTATCGCTGCACTGCTGCTTCGGCGACGCTCACGCCTCGCACTGACGTGCTGCTGCTGCGTGCGGTATGAAAGCTCTAATCTGTTAACATGGACGCCGAAAACACACGCGCTGCTCACGCTCTGCTCACGCGCCGCTGACACTTGCGGTGTGAAACAGGCGTTAGCCTCTTTAAAATGAATGAATGAATCAGAACAAATTGACCCACGGCAAATTATTAATGATGAATTTATGATTTTTTTTAGTAATAAAATAGTCAGATTCAGACAGAAAATAGAAAATATTAAAGAAGATGTTCTGCACCATCTTATAATTTAGATTCATTAAATATTCCACTAAATCAAAATAATGTACAGTGCTTCAAGATCATAGGACAGGAAGAGCTAGATAAACTTATGAATATGTCTAAACCAGCTAATATGTATGTTAGACTCAATTCCAACAAAATTACTGAAAGTGTTGCTACCTGAAGTAAGAGAACCTCATCTTAATGTTGCCAACTCCTCTTTATCTTTAGTTTAACATTAGGCCATGTTCAAAATTCTTTCAAGCTAGCTGTATTTAAGCCTAATATTAAGAAACCACAACTGGATCCTAGCAACTAAGCTTATTATAGGCCTATTTCAAATCTTCCAATTATGTCTTCAATAGTTGAAAAAGCTGTTTCTGCGCAATTACGCTTCATTTTACAGATGAATGAAGCTTAATATGAGATGTTTTTGAAGTGTTTCTGTCACAGTATGGAAACTGTAATAGTAAAAGTAACCAAATATTTACCCTTAGCTGCTGACCAAGACTGCATCTTGTTACTACTTTTACAGACCTGAGTTCTGCTTACGACACTATTGATCATGATATTCTCATAGGTTGCATTGTTTCCTCTAGGTTTACATTTTTTGTTTTTGGGGAATGGGGGTGGGGGGTGCAGTACTTTTTTAGTCGGCAGTATTGAGTTCTTGTTTAATGTTAACTTCTCCCCTCTCTCCATCCGCTCCGCCACATGTGTGTAGACTAGTCAACATATTTATTTCATTTGAACTTCATTTATATTTTATTTCACTTTTTTCATTATGGTCTTGCATATGCTATAAATAAAACACTCGCAACTAAGCAGTTGGCTTGCTAAATGGTTTACTTCAGTTTATTTAAAGAAATCAGCTGATAATATGGAGTTTGTACCTAGTGGGTCTACGCATCCTATTGATTGAGTTTACTATAGAAAGATCATAATCAATCCAAATACATGACATGTATTTTTAGACATGGCTTGTATTTAACAATTTATTTTAAATTAATTGACATGTATCTTACAAAATTTTTATATAAACATCAGATTAAACTAGTGCTGGGTGATAAAATGGTATCAAATTTATTGATGGTACGCCATTGGAAATAATGATTAAAAATAACAATTTAAGCTTAGGGATTGTGCAAGTTTTTCTTATTTTTATTTTCAAGGCATGCTAATTTTCCAGGCTCACATCTTATATTTTCAGATTGACTCAAGCGGACTGAGATTCGTGTAAGTAAAACCAATCAATCAGCTTCAGACTTTGTATGGAATATACACATTTTAGTAATAATGGTAGAGCAAAAATAACTCAAACAAACAAAGAGCCCTAACACTCCAGTACTGTTTCATTTTTATCAATAAGTAAAACATGTATTAGACCTGCAGCAACGGTGTGTCCATTTTTCATCATCTAAAAAAAATGGTTAATGGTCGCCTAGGTACCACAGATGCCAGGAAAGCACATTGAAGCACATTGAAAATGGCAAAGCTCATGCTTTTTCACGTGCTTTTAGATGCAATTTGTTAATGGACTCGGGTTGAGTTTCATCATCGCCACCTCAGGTCATAATAACACTCGTGAAAATGAGTGCCTTGGCTAGTAACAGTAAGGAGAAGAATAATAAAGCCAGAGTGGCTTTATGGTTTCTTTTCTTGTGCATCCCAGCCACTAGCACCCCATCTAAAAGAAATTTTAGCATCATGTACTGTACTCTAGCACTATTTAAACCAGAGAGAGTTTAACCAATTTGTCTTTTTTGCTCAAAATTTGTATTGTTGTAATATGTATTTGAATATTGAAGGTTGGTTCCTTTAATTGAAAGCTCAATCAAGAGTTTAGGGTTTACTGTATTATTGTTATTGACACCTTACAGATGTTGATCTACCTTAAAGTTTGCCTACCATTGGATACTCTTTGTAACATTTTATTTATCAAATTAAAACTCTCTTTTACATTTATGTTTATTTTATTTATTTTCTTTTTGGCTTAGTCCTTTTATTAATCAGGGGTTGCCAAAGCAGATTGAGATGCCTATTTTATTATAAGATGTATCTAAATGGATTGTTAAAAAGTATTCAATAATCCTCAATACAGAATGATATGAAATATACAGTGAAATATATATATATATATATATATATATATATATATATATATATATATATATATATATATATATATATGTATATATATATATTTTTTTTTTTTGATCGTGCACCCAGCCTTAGATTAAACGTTAGACACATTTTCCTGGTGTGATTTTGATACAAGAATACAAGAATGCCTTCATTACACTATTCTGCAAGATCAATGGCTTAAAATTCCTCTGGCAACTCTTAAGTACTTGTATCGGTTACTCCTAAGATAAATAGATACTGTAGTAGTCGCAAAATGAGGCCCTACATTATACTAATGAATTAATGTGGTATCAGTTTCATTGTCCAATCACTGTATCATATTAAATGTTCACATCCATATCCAAAAGTGTAGGTCACAAGAAATGTCAATGACATATTTTTATACATGTAAAGCATTAAAATAATAAGTGTAAAGCATACAATTTTACTTATTAATATATAATAATAGTAATTTAAATCAAAAAACCCTTGAAGACACTTTACCCATGATTTTTTTCTTAGAGTTCAAGTCTGGTTTTAGTAAAATAATGTAGCATTTAGGAATGAATATACAAAAGAGCATTCCATAACTTGATGCTAAAATAGCAAATATCTCCACGGCTACAGTGAATTTTCCTGGGGAACTGATATAAGCTGGAATAAAAGTGATCCATACAGCACAGAATATGAGCATACTGAATGTGATGAATTTGGCTTCATTAAAGTTATCAGGCAGCTTGCGGGCAAGAAAAGCTAGAATAAAACATAAGATAGCCAGAAAGCCAATATAACTGAGTACAGCCCAGAAGCCAACAGCTGAACCTGAATCACACTCAAGAATTATTTTGTCTTTATAATTGTTTGTAGTTTTGTTGGGAAATGGAGGTGACATTGTTAACCAAAGCATGCAAATTAGCAATTGTATAAAAGTAAAGACAAAAACACTTAATCTCTGTTGAGGAGGTCCAAACCATTTCATGACATTACTTCCTGGCAGTGTAGCCCTGAATGCCATTAAAACAACTAATGTTTTACCTAGAACACAGGAAATGCAGAGCACAAAAGTGATCCCAAATGCTGTGTGACGCAACATACAGGACCATTCAGTGGGCTGACCGATGAAAGTAAGAGAACACAGAAAACACAAAGTGAGCGAGAAAAGCAGCAGGAAGCTCAGCTCTGAGTTGTTGGCTCTGACAATTGGTGTGTGTCTGTGGTAGAAAAAAATCAGCCCTACTGTGATTGTGAGACATCCACCACACATAGAAAATGTTACAAGTATATTACCCATTACTTCATTAAATGTCAGGAATTCAATGTTTTTGAGGACACATTGTGTTCTATTCCCATTTGATTTGTACTCAAGAGGGCATGGTATGCATGTAACTGCATCTGAAAGCACAGAAAGATTCAAGAGAAAAACAACTTACTTTCAAGACAACGAAAAACCACACAGATTTCAGGTTATCAACACAGCAAAATGACAAGTGTCACTTTTGATAAAAGATGCCTATTCGTCTCACTTGTGGTGTTGCTGAACTCTCCATCTGCACAGTCAATGCAGTCGAAGCAGCAAATAGGTTTTCCTTTCACAAAAGCTTGTCGAGTGCCTGGAAGGCAAGTCTCACTGCACACAGACAGAGGCACCTACACACAAAATCACATACATACAATTATGTTTTGAGAGGAACTATAGAAAAATATAGGTTTATGGGAGATTACTAGTTTACTTCCTTCCTTAATAACTCACTTTTTTCTGGTTTCCTGCCCAGATTGCCTCAATATCATCTCTCATTTGAATCTCTTGTCCCTCTGGCTTGGATGCGTCATACAAGCCAATGGATTCAAATGTTATTATTCCTTCATAGCTCATCTGCCAATTAACCAGTGTGTAACGTGCAACTGGGTCACCATGTTTGTCAAAGTGAACATTTTCTCCATTTTTGGTCGTAAAGTTCACCTGAGTTAGATAATACAGCACCTGCATAAAACAGTTTCCACCTGAATACCCATAGCCTTTGAATAACAGAGAATGACTTTTAGTAGTACACACCTGCCAAGGCTGTATTTTCCCTTTCTCTGCACATGTTTTTTTGTGGAATGGCCCCTTCCCTTTCTCACAAGTCAGCAGTTCTTCAACAGCATGAGCAACGGCGTAGACTGCATTGTAGACATTGTTTAAAAGACTAGCATCAGACACATCTGTAAAACGTGTATTTATATTTGCTAAGGACTCCTGCCCATTGCATATCTTGGAGGCATTGTGTGTTTGTGAATTTAAAGTGCAGTCAAACACACTTTCCCAAAGTTCAACCAGTCCTGTGTTGCCTGGTCTCAAAGAAGGCTGGCTACCTGTAATAAACTCCTTTAACCCAGGAATATAAGCGTTTGGCACAGCAAAACCTATTGCCCCCCCAACCACAGCATAGTTAATCGCAGTTGCTAGAAATCTGTACGTGATCCAACCCTCACTTCCAACCCACTGATAACCAGTTACATTTTGGTAATAAAGCTCTTTAATCAGCATGTCCAAATCGTTGCCATCTGCAAAAGCCACTATGACTTTAGATGTTGATTTTTTAATTATGTCTGTAACCTCCAAAATCTTCTCTCTTGAATTTGTTCTGTAAATGGACACAGAGTATTCGACACAGATACCCTCTTTCTCAGCTGCTTCTAGAAAAGTGGCCATTCCATTGTTACCATAATCTCCCATGCTTCTTACAGCTCCAACCCACTTCCAGCCAAAATAGGTGACCAGTTTAACCAGTGCTCTGCTCTGGTAGTAATCACTTGGAATGGTCCTGAAGAAAGATGGATATTGCTGTCTATTACTGAGACATGCACAGGTTGCTGAATGGCTAAGCTGAAAAAGACAAAATAAATGTTTTAAATCACTGTAATATTTGAAAAATGATTCCTGACTCACACTAGAGTAACAGTAGACACAAAACAATGTGATTCTGATGTATGCAGATACAATTAGTCAGTTTTTAAAAATAGAGTAATCTAAAATCTAATCTAAAATCTAAAAAATGTATCTAAAATGTGCAGTGCTAAATTTAAGAATAAAGCAATAATAATTTATGTTATTAACACTGACTTACCACTGGAATTTTAAATGGACCAATAGTCCTTGCGATGTCTATGGTGGATGTTGATGTAGTTTCTCCAATCACAGCTTGCACAGCAGATGGACTTGCACAGCTTTTTTTAGTCTCCATTTGCCCATTCATCAGAGTTAATGATGCTCCAACAGAGAGAGGGATACTTGGGCAAGAGTCATAAATGCGGTAGCCAAGTATAAAGCCAGGAAGTAGGTCAGTTCTATTGTTTATTTCCTCAATGGCAAAAATCATTGTGATTGCATATTGCAGTTCCCCAGGATCAAGTCTGAAAAGGAAGTTTTCACAAAGATGTATTTTTTTAGGATTATATTGGCAACCTTTAAAAACAACACTTCGTTTTTGAGTAGTATGAAATAACACAGCCACAACTTTACCCATTGCATCTGATGTTTCCTGGATTAGTTCTGAGTGTTGGATTTACTCCAACTGGATTTTGGTGGAATGAAAAAACACCCCCAATAGAGACATTACCTTCTTTTGAGAAATAAAGGAGTTCATCTGTCATATAAGCTTCGCATTCTGGTTCTGCAGCACTCAGAGTACAGGCAATAGTCGTCAAAATGGTTGCAAGCAACAGCATGACTCTGTAGTATGTGAAAATATATTTCTGAAGTTGAGGTTGTCAAGAGAAAATGCTTTATATGTATAAATTGACTGTGCTTCACACAACATGTTTACCCTTTCCAACCAATAATAAATGCAATTAGGATGAGTGACAGAAAAACTGTCCAATAACCATTCTTTTGCTTGGGTTCAATCTCAAGCCTCCTTTTTAATTTACTGGTTAAGAAAACACTAAGAAAGAATTGTGAATATTTGTAAAGTTAAGTTGTACAATCTTAACTAATCAAATTGTGTAGCTGGCCTTTAAATTAATATAGTTTTGCTTTTGATAGAAGGTTATTAAATAAGTTTGCTTTTCCATAAGACTACACTTATAGCATGTGAATGGTGCCTGTGGTGCAATACTAAATATACAGTTTGTTAGAATTTCTAGCTCCCTTTTGATTTTTTTCTTTTTTAAATATTTCCTAAGTGATGTTTAACAGAGCAGGGAAATTTTCACAGTATGTCAGATAATATTTTTTTCTTCTAGAGAAAGTCTTATTTGTTTTATTTTGGCTGGAATAAAAGCTGTTTTCAGTTTTTATAAAGCCATTTTAAGGAACAAAATTATTAGCCCTTTTAAGCTAACTTTTTTATAGTCTAATGAACAAACCGCCATTATACAATAACTTGCCTACTTACCCTAACCTGCCTGGTTAATCTAATTAACCTAGTTAAGCCTTTAAATGTCACTTTAATTTGTATAGAAGTGTCTTGAAAAATATCTAGTAAAATATTATTTACTGTCATCATGGCAAAGATAAAATAAATCAGTTATTAAAAATTAGTTATTAAAACTATTTTGATTAGAAATGTGTTGTGTCTTCTCTCCTTTAAACAGAAATTAGGGGGGGGGGGAATAAACAGGGTGCTAATAATTCTGACTTCAACTGTATATGAATTGATATGAGCTTTTAATTATATGTAATGGGCTACTTGAACAGCGAGTGTTTTTCAGCCACCAACTGGTTCCGGTGAAAGGTTTATCAGACTTTTTTTTTTTCATAAGGTTCCTTTTACAGTATCAATAATTTAATTTAACCCTGTTATAAAAAATCCACTGGTTAACACCAAGTCAATCTACAGCATTTGTCACAACACTTCTCCCATTAAAGTCAAAAACAAAGAAATTACTCCTGCCATGTGAACTGTTTTTAGTGAAAATTTGCAAAATAAGCATTTTTTTCATATTACACTCTAAGAGCCCTTGTCTTTTAAAAGCTTTGTGCCATAAAAACTATTTAGTATGTTATTAATTATTTTTACACACGCATGGTCTACTAAATGGTTGAATTGACACTTTATGGTAAACAGAGAGAAAAGTAAGTCTAATGTTTTCATATGATGCATTTCTGCAGTCAGAATAGACTGTTTGCTGAGAAATATTAACTTTTTAACAATAACAGGATATGACACATGCTTATTATTTATTTCTGTAAATACTAGATCATTTACAATAGATAATTACCTAAGTATATATGTTTTCAACACTTTCTGAATTTGTATTGAGTAAATATAATGAATTTATAGAACTAACGTGTGGAAACCATAATTATCAGTCAGTTGCCTCTTAAATGACAAATGTTGAGGTACTAGCTTTAGTAGAATTGTGAGATATATATTTGTTATTTGATATAAATGAGATTTGTTTGTTCTTGCAAGATTACATTCTTCAAGCTTTTACCAGAAAAGATCTTTACTGATGAGAACATTCAGCAGGTTTACTCATACATTTTCTCTCTCTCTCTCCCTCTCTCTCTCTCTCTCTCTCTCTCTCTCTCTCCCTCTCTCTCTATCTCTCATATACACACACACACACGTTTTCATTCAAAAGTGCACATTTAATTTATGTGCAAAAGACGTTTGAATTAAGCAGCATTTCCATCCAACGAGTCAAAGAAGACAAAATCGTCACTTCCTGATTAACTGGCACCAAATATCAACAGTAAAAACTGAATTTTCTGTAGTAGAAGCTTTGTGATTCTTTTCTTCATTTAAAGGTTCAGTATGTAAGTTTGACACCCAGTGGTTAAACTAGGAATTGCATGCCTGATTTCTAGATCAGGCAAGCACAGGTTTCTAGATTGACAGGAGCGAACCTGACTATCTAGCCTAAAGGCTAATTTAAGTTGTGTTCTAAATAAAAGCAATGGCATGGAATAGAAGGAACATTTTCCATGAAAAAGGGAGTTTTTGCTCTAATCAACACATGAAATTTATATTTTCATGACTGTGATCACTGTGATCATTATAAACTGCGATCACCTCATGTGCTTTATTCAGTGTTAAATGCTAATAATGCAAGTTTTAATGCAATTTTACACAAGTAATATCCTACAACTGAAAGCAGCAGCAGAGCTGCTAATAAAATTAAATAAAATAAAAAATTAAATAAATTAAATAAAATTAAATAAAATTAACCATTTAAAATTGAACTTCAGAACTGTGACTGCAAGCAAAGTTAACATATACTGTATCAGTGATTCAGCATGTACATTTAATAATGTTAAAGAGATTTAATATGTATTAGCAGACCTATAGCCAGCATACTGAAAGGGCTGGTTCTTTTTGCAGTTATTCTCCTCAATTTCTATTAAATTATGAGATTCAAATGCTGCATTTTAGTCACATTTTAAGCACTAATCTTTGCTGTTTACAATTAGGTTAAACAGTTCAAATGGCACAATAGATTTTGCTGCAATAATATTTGAATCGTCAGATGTGGGTGGCTATAGACATGTCAAACAAGGAGAGTCACCTACAATTCTCTTTAGTATTAATGCCGCACATTGAAGTGGATGTGAGATGCATATAGCATTGTTTGTAATCCATTTTACTGCTTTTTGGTGATTGTCTGACTGTAATTTCATCCTCTTCGCTACTCGATAGTCAAGACAAGGGCCATCTTGGACCATGTTTACATCCGTTAGGTCATCTTATTGGTCTAGCAGGAAGCACGTGACGCAAAGCGACGCAAATCTCTCACCATCAAAAAACGATTACATGAGGATGGGACTGTTGCCAGCTTTAAACACTTGTAAAAAAAAAATAACTGCAGAATCATACACAGAGAACTGTGTATCCAACCTTCAATACAACCTTCAATTAAACTCCATATCAATTGATCCATTTTTTTTTTAAATAAAAAGAATGTAGTGCCCCATGTGTGGGAACGGAATGAAAAGAAAAGGTGCTTCACCTTACGGCCTAACAAGGGTATAATAGTTTTGGATTTTTCATTAGTTTTAGTTTCTATTTCGTTTTGACATTTTATGTTTAAATTCAGTTAGTTTTAGTGTTTTTGGTTTTAGAGGTAGATTTCTTAGTTTTTATTAGTTTCTATATTTTAAAAATGTCTTAGTTTTAGTTTAGTTTTTATTAGTTTTAGTATTAGTTTCAGTTTTTTTCTAAATGAGGATATTTGTTAGGTACAAGATTCAAAATCAACAGTATAAATATTGTATAATAACAACTCAGCCACACAATTTTTTAAACATGTATTCAGAGAACAAATGAACACTATCATTTACCACAACCATCTACCCATCCTCAAGTTAGACACACAGTAGTGATGGACAGGGCCGGATTAACCTTTGGGCATTATGGGCACAGGCCCAGGGGCCCGTCTGCACTTAGATTTTGTCTACTTTTCATCACAAGAAAGACAAGTGGGAATCATTGATAAGTGTGTGTATTATGGAGGACTCCAATTCCTAGAACCGGATTGGAGAGGTGTTATCCAAATCATGTGCATTATAAGTTTGTAGAAGTTATACATTAAAAATACCTTAAATATAAATTTTAGTACTGCTTTAGTGAACTTGAACAAGTATATTAAAATGCATTAATTTCCCCTAGTTGTTTTAGTACTTTTTTTTTCAAAGTGTGAAATAAGTAAAATCTTTGTAAAATCTTTGTAAACTAGAAATATGTGTAGTGTGTATCAATTATTTTAAAAATGTGGGCAATATATTATAAATTAATTTTATTTAACAAATATTATATTATCTTATTTTTTAATTTAACTATGGGGTGCGGCAATAGGGGGCCTTCAAGACATTGTCCCCAGGGGCCTCTAAATTATTAATCCAGGCCTGGTGATGGGAAGTTCAGATTTTTAACTCGTATGTTAGGACTCAACATTATGTAGTCAGCAATAGTAATTTCAGTCAATTAAAATGATCAGAAAAGTGTTACAGTAAAGTTTTGCAACCCAACTGCATCATGATTCACTTATTTAAAATCCATTACGATTGTCTGTTATGAAATAAACTTACGTTTTTCAACAGATCCTCTCATTTAAGCCCTCGGTTTACCCATTACCGGGCACAAACGTGTTAAAGTAATACTTTTAAGTCTCTTTATTTATTGCGTTCACCGTGCTGCTGTCATGTCCACTCATTGTTTTTGTCGCGGGAGCAACAGCGAGGATGACTGGAGGAGAGCCGGCTTAATCTGGCCAATGGCAGCAGCAGACACTGAGGTGCGAAAGGGTCAAACACAAACACCCACGCGCGGATTATATTTTCTTCTAAAAGGCTTACAGTAAGATTATGTATTAAATACATTTACAAACATGAAAACGAAGGAGGTTTTTGCTATCATTTTAGTTAGTTTCAGTTAGTTTTGTATGTACTTTACAGTTTTAGTTAGTTCTAGTTTTTGAAAAAACTCTTGTTTTTATTTTTATTTCAGTTAACAACTATTATTTTTACATTTTAGTTTTCGTTTTTTCGTTAGTTTTCGTTAACTATAATAATAATTAACCTTGTGGCCTAACAGTTTTGAGAATATCGGCTGTACCCTGAGAAAGTCCCAAAGCAACTGAGAATATTATAAAAAGTAATTAAAAGGTAGCCTACAATCAGTTATTTAACATCTAATAACATAAATATTGTAATACACTCATTTACATTTAAAAAATAAACTTTTTTTTATTTTAGAAACATTTCAACAAATAGGCATACATGATTCAGGCAGCGGAACAGTAACGTGGCAGACACAAATGTCACATTCGGCAGATGCAGAAGTCACGCTCAGTGAGACGAGTGCACGTTGCAGTCTCATGTTAATGACCCCTTGCGAAAGCCATAAGAGTAGAGCCGCTGATTGGTTATCAGTTGTCTAAAACTGCGTTCACATGGGAAATTTACACATGAAGGCTGCCACACCAGCATGGTTGCACACTTCACATTTTTGATTCATTTTATGATTCATTTACAAAACATGTCAGCGTCAACACGTCGCAGCTGACAACAGCCAATCACATTACTTTTCCAGTGTTACATAAATGCAATTAGCTAGCATCTGCTCAAACTTATTTGCATGGTGTGATCAAACTGGCTAACACCTGTTTTTAGGTTAACTTAAATTTGATGTGAATAATTAATGCTGACATCAGAAAAATAACATTTAAATAAATTTCAGTAATCCATGGGCAGCTTTATTCAATTAAACACTTTCTGTTGTAAAAGTGCCTTGTAGTTCATGTCAAAAACCACATAATCTGCGCAGCATGTCTAGTCAATATCAATCAAAAATCATCAGTAATGAGTGCAGTAGTGCAGTAATCAGCTATGGGAGTCTAATCAGTGAAGATTTGGAGCAGGTGTGTTTGTGTGTGTGTGTGTGTTGCATGATTGAATACGTAGTTCATAAATTGCTGATTTGTAGTCCTTTAGCGATCTGCAGCTACTAGATCGCTGGTGATCATGACAGAGCCCCAACCTCCAAGGAGCGAATTCCAGACGCTCCTAACACAGTTTAGGCAGGGGGTGAAGAGAAGGCGGAACAGGGGGAGGGATGGAGAGCCACGACCATGCGGTTGAGGAGTACTTGGTGTGTGGAGCTGCGGAGGCCCAGGAGCATGGAGCTATGTCTGGGGGCTTTGATTCAGCAGGCATTAGCGGGTCAAACACCCACAGTGGGTCAGGAGTGTTTGGTTTAGGAGGCACTGGCATGTCATTAACCCACAGTGGGTCAGGAGGCTCTGGTTCGAGAGGCACCGGCAGTTCATCAAACCCCAGTGGGTCAGGAGGCTTAGGTTCTGAAAGCACTGGCAGTTCTTTAAACCCCAGTGGGTCAGGAGGCTCTGGGAGGTCACACGACTTTAGGAAATCGCATGGCTCTGGCAGTCATTCGTGGAACTCAGGCAGCAGCAACCAATCAGGAAACTCAGACAACGGCGGCGGCCATTCGGGAAGCTCAGGCCGCGGCCATTCAAGTAGCTCAGGCGGCGGCCATTCAGGAAGCTCAGGTGGTGGCCATTCAGGAAGCTCAAGCAGCGTCAGCCATTCGGGAAGCTCAGGTGGCAGCCATTCAGGAAATTCAGGCAGTGGCGGCCATTGGGGAAGCTCAGGCGGTGGCAGCAGCAGCTCAGGCAACGGTCGCTCTGGTAGCTTTGGCAGTACTGGCAGTAGTGGCTCTGGCAGCGGCGGTGGCTCTAGTAGCTCTGGTGGTGGCAGCTCTGGTAGCACTGACGGTGGCGGCGGAGAATCTGGGAGCTCTGTAGGAACTGGCAACTCTTGAGGTGGCGGTGGCAGCTCTGGCAGTAACAGATCTGGTCATGGCAGCAACTCTGGCAACTCAGGTGATGGTGGTCATTCTGGTGGCTCAGGTGATGGCATTTCAGGAACAGGAACAAGAACTATGGCAAGAACAGACTCGGAACAGGAAGCCATCTTGTGAGCTGGTGGCAGACTGCGCTTACCATTGTGTGAGCTGGAGGGCTAGTTGTGGCCACTTTTTGAGCTGGAGGCGGCCATCTTGTGAGCTGGAGGACTGGAGGCGGCCATCTTGTGAGCTGGAGGTGGCCATTTTGTTAACTGGAGGCGGCCATCAGGCTGTGGTCTAGGCTGATGGACAGGGTACAGAAGTACAGGTGATGCCAGCATTTTGGTGTTAATGGAGGGAAGAACAGGGAAGCCCCGTTGCTGGCGGGTCTTGCTGTCTATTGTTGGAAAGTTGGGTGGAGTGACGGTAAGTTTAAAAAGGAAAAGCTCCTTCTCTAAAGCTAAATCTAGCTAATTATTTGAATTTGGTACCTCTTTTCAATGGGTTTTAAGGCACTCTAAGAGTGAAGTGATATTGAGTACACTCTGCTAATCCTGTGCGGTCTGACTGGTAAAGTTATGGAATGTTATTTTTCTTTATCACCTGCAGAAAGCCACATTCATAAGAATGTTAAGTTGGTAGTTTTAAAGGTTTATGACTGTCTCTGAAAGGTATCAGCAGCAGTTTTAATCAAACCAAAAACAGGTTGAATTGGGTAGAGACTTAACTTTGCTTCTAATTCCTGTATGTGTTAGAGGATGTTATGACATTGTAATGTGAAGAAGGTTTCCCATGCAACGCTACTGGCCGATAAGTGAAAACACATTTATAAGTCTTATGTAGATGGGTTCATTTGTAAATGCCCTTCTGCAGTAGTGAATGCCCCATCTGTTCCTCTAACCCAAATAAACCATTTTGTTAATAGTCCATCACTTAGGCTACGTTCACACTGCAGGCAAATGTGGCCCGAATATGATTTTTTCCCTCTCATGTGACTCAGGTGATGACAGTGTGAACAGCCCAAACTGCATGGAATCTGATCTTTTTAGTTCAGATTTGTGCCACTTTCATATGTAGTCTTAAATAACTCACCAAACAGAGATAAACCAACTCCGGCTTCACAGTTCAGTCTGTGGCTGCTCATTTACCCTTTATGAGTTCACTACTCTACTGGTCAAAGCGCCACGCACAGCAGATATCATAAATCACAAATGATCAGTGTTTTCAATCACAACCCTACTGAAAAAAACAGCTTAAACCAGCCTAAGCTGGTTTAAGCTGGATTTTTTTAGCAGGGAAGAGACTTATTTTAGGTTTCAAATGCCGAAATTCAAAAATTTAAAAAAATGAAATGGATAATAATAATATGAGCATGATCTGACATTGAGGTTACTTTTATACAGTATACATATTGTGTGCATAATTAAGACATTTTGTGCTCTCTGTAATGTACTTTTGTGCATGCGGGTCAGTTTAGTTCAGTTAGTGTGAACAGCCATGCAAAAAAATCAGATCTGAGAAAAAGTTAACTCCATTTAAAACTACTGTTTGGAGAAAGGACATTGCAATTTCAGCTATCCAGTACTTAAATCAAGAGGTTTAATGCTTGTATAGGTGGGGGAGCCTATGGATTTATATTGTTTTATTAATCTGTTATACATCCTTACTTTAGGGCTGCATGGTGGAGCAGTGGGTAGCACAATTGCCTCACAGCAAGAAGGTCACTGGTTTGAGCCTCTGCTGGGTCAGTTGGCGTTTCTGTGTAGGTTCTGTTCTCCCCGTGTTGGCTTGGTGCTCTTGTTTCCCCCATAAGTCCAAAGACATCACTATAGGTGAATTGGATAAGCTAAAATTGTCCATAGTGGATGTGTGTGAATGAGTGTGTATGGATGTGATGGGTTGCAGCTGCATATATGCAACATATGCTGGATAAGTTAGCGGTTCATACCGTTGTGGTGACCCCAGGTTAAAAAAGGGAGTAAGCCGAAAAGAAAATAAATGAACATCCTTTTTTTTGGTAGAAATCCCCAGCGGATTGTAGTAAGAGTTTTCTTTTTTAGTAACATATATTAAATGTATGAAACTGTGTTCTTTTTTTTTAAGGGGGAGGGTGTCACAGCTGCTGCTTTTTGCTGCTCGTCTACCATGTCTGTGCTCCTTCTACAGGTATGCTGCAGGGGTGTAATCAGTTTGATTGAGCACTATATCCTATATCAACAGTTTTTGCTTGGAAGGCAGTGAGAATTTACTCTTTGATTGTTCCTGGGTTAGGATGAAGACCAGAGACTTGTGGGGTTGTTGCAGGGGTTTGACAGCCTAATGTTTGGTTCACAGTGGTTGAAAATAAACGTTATGTGTTGCACTTTAACAACACATTTCCATTCTCTTCATGCAGCATGGAGATCATTAATAGTTACCTTCACAACCAAACTCTCGTGTCTTGAGCATTCTTGTTTATAGTTGCACTGACACCATGCAGCATAAATTAGCAGTGTAAATTCAGTGGGTGAGCTTTTATTTTCAGACTTCATAATTAGTCACTATAAATTTTTCTTAATCCATGTGAAAATATGACAAAGTTTATGACGTCAACATTCTAATATGTTAATTATAAGTGAGGTCCCCAGTGTCCTCTTATTTGACATTTCCTATCCATTCTTGATTACACTCCATTAGCCAGCTGCTGTAACTCCAAAAGGCCTCATTTATACATTTGGACTTGTCCTCTTTCAGTTCACTAGACAGGGTAGGGTAGGTACAAATATGTCTCACCAGAAAGAGGTCTAAACAACATTTTCATTCCCATATTAGTTACGTATTTTATTTATTACAACTGATAATAGCTATGCAGAGCATATATATAAATTTGGTATGTGTTTATGTCTATTATGAATAATAATTAGACTTTTTGGTCAATTAAACCATTTTAAACAGTTTTGTAGTATATTAACATGTTTATGTTTTGCATATTTCAAGCTTTACAATAGTAGAAAGCAGTAGCAATAAAACAAAATGTTTTCTTCACATTTTATGTTTCCAGAATGACTGCAGCAATGTCTAAATCATGATTCCCTGTATAGTACTTGAAACAGCATGAGTTTATTGTGATTTACTGTTTATAAATTTAAGTTTTGCCCATGATATGTTTCCTTGTGTTTTGTTCTGGCTTGAATATGATAATGTAGCATTTTGGTGTAAATATACAGAACAGCAAACCAAAAGTAGAAGCTAAAATGGCAAATATTTCAACAGCTACTGTAAGTTTTCCAGGAGAACTGATATATGCTGGTATAAATGTGATCCAAACAGCACAGAATATGACCATACTGAATGTAATAAATTTGGCTTCGTTGAAATTATCGGGCAGTTTTCTAGCCAGAAAAGCCAAAAAGAAACACAACACCGATAACAATCCAATATAACCCAGCACAGCCCAGAAACCTATAGCCGAACCTAAATCACATTCAAGTATAACTTTATCTAATGAATACATGCTATTTTTATATGGCATTGGACGGGCCAGTGCCAGCCACAGGATACATATCATCACCTGAAAAACAGTGCAACAGAAAACACTAATTCTTTGTAAAGGTAATGAACAATGAGGAAGCCCTGAACCAGGCACTGTGGTCTTGAAGGCCATTACCACGGCTATTGTTCTTGTCAGAACACAAGACATACAAAGAGCGAAAGTGACCCCAAATGATGAATGACGCAACATACAGGACCCCTCAGTGGGCCGACCAATGAAAGTAAGTGAACAGAGAAAGCACAGAGACAATGAAAAAAGCAACAAAAAGCTCAGTTCTGTATTGCTGGCCTTCACAAGAGGTGTGTCTATAAATTTGTAAAACACTATCGCAACTGCAATTGTTAAAGTAACCCCAGTTAATGAGAATGCAGTCAAAAGAATTCCCATGTTTTCCTCAAATGAAAGGAATTCCACCTTTTTGAGAACACAGATGCTGTGGTTTTTATTTGACCAGTATTCTAATGGACATTTGATGCATTCAGCTGAATCTAAAAATACAAAAATAAAGAGATGAATAGCAAATAAAAAAAAAAATACATATCATAATACATGCATCATTCTCTAGTATGGCATTGAGGAAATATTAAAAACACTATTAGTTGTGCACCACATCAAATGTAAAACTTGACATTAAATGGTGTTTGTGTTTTTATGAATCAAGTTACTGGTTGTCTCACCAGTAGTATTGCTAATTTCTCCAGCTGGGCACTGCAAACATTCAAAGCAGCATACTGGTCTTCCTTTTATCACAGCTTGCCTGAATCCTGGCTGGCAGCTCTCAGTGCACACTGAGATTGGTTTCTGTCATGTTTACACATTCTTACTTTGTTGGACAACTTTTTTTTATTTTTTTTATTTGTGTTGACTTCAACATAATGCATTTACTATGTACATACCGTGGGACTGTCTCCTGCCCAAATTATATCGAACGAATTAATGACAAACTGCTGTTCACTGGATAGCGAGGCATCATATTGTCCTACAGTGATGAACTTTGTTTCCCCTGCTCCATTTTTCTGCCAGTTTACTAGCTCATATTTTGCCATAGGATCCCCATTTTTGTCAAAGTACACTGTCTCACCTGAGTCCATTGTGAAATTGACATTTTGAAGTGAATGCAGGACCTGTGATTTCATTATTATAGTTCTATTTACTTTGTTAAAATGTGTTAGATATTTCATAGTATTCTAAATATTTACAAGAATTACTTACTTGGCTGGAAACCAATAAATCCACATCTCCACATGTTATGTTTTCATTTCCACCATTTGAGTTTTTGCAAGTTATTGTGTTATGCAGTGCATAAGCGATAGCATAGACTGCCTTATAAACATTATTTGAAATCCTTAGCTCAGAAACGTCTGTGAACGCATTACTAACATTGGTTAGATTTTCAGATCCATCACAAAATGTTGCATGCTCAGAATTAGGGCAGACTGTAGGAGAGAGACAACAACCAAACACCATCTCCCAAAATTCCCCAAGAAGAGCATTTGAAAGGTTCTGGGATGGACCAACTTTAAGTAGGAATTCTTTCAGGCCGGGAATTTTTGACTTGATAATTGTAAAGCCAATTGCACCACCAAGGATGTTTAAAGTTCTTTCAGTTGCCAAGTAACTTGATGTAATCCAAGATTCACTGCCAACCCACTGTAGTCCAACGACATTTTGCCTGATAAGCTCTTCCAACAACACATCCATTTCACCCTGTGCCAGAAATGCCATGAGAACTTTAGCAGTGCCTTTTTTTATTACTTCAACAACCTTGGCAATCTTGTCTTTGGAATTTGTCCTTGATATGGCCTCTGAATACTCAATACACACTCCTTCTTTCTCAGCTACCTCTACAAATGTTGCCATGCCATTGTTTCCATAGTCATTGTCACTTCTTACTGCTCCAATCCAGGTCCACCCGAAGTGTTTCACTAACTGTGCCAGTGCTCTGCTCTGGTAGTAATCACTTGGAATAGTTCTGAAGAAAGATGGAAACTGCTTTCTACTGCTCAGGCAGGCACAAGTAGCAAAATGGCTAATCTGACAAACAGAGCATATCAATTATTTGTATTATATATATATATATATATATATATATATATATATATATATATATATATATATATATATATATATATATATATATATATAGACACAGAGAGAGAGAGAGAGAACGAGAGAGATTTCTACCATACAACACACATAAATTACCACGGGAATGTTGAATGGCCCTGCTGCTCTAGACAGTACAATAGTTGTGGAAGACTCAGATTCTCCAATAATGGCTTTAACTGCTGGTTTTCCAGAGCAGGTATGTTCTGCTGTCAGCTCCTGGCCATTTATCAAAGCCATTGATGACCTCATAGAGGCTAATGTGGAACCACAGCTGTCAAATATTTGGTATCCAATTGAAATGTTTGGAAGTAGGCTTCTCTTGCTGTTAATTTCTTCAATTGCAAAGATCATGGTTTGAGCAAAGTGGAGTTCTCTCAAATTCAGGCTAATTCGAGAGAAAGAGATCATTGAAAGTGCAAAGATTCTTTGTGTAAACATGTAACGATGACTAATGTAATATTTTACTAAATTAATTCTAATACATATTAAACATGTATTACATACGTTTACTGCATATAATCATTTTCATAACACTGTTACATTTATAAAAAAGAAGATAAGTAACAGACCTGGTGCACATTAGATGATGAGGTTTTTCTGTAAATGATGGTATTATTAAATTTATTTTGTTGTGTATTGAAAAAGCCCCTCCAATGATAATATCTCCATCCTGGGAGAGTAGAGGGTTCTCTGGTTTGCCTATCATATTGCAATTTGACTCTACCTCCTTGGCTTTAATGCTGCAGAGCAGTAAAAATCCAAAACCAAACATGACAGTGACTCAGAGTGCCCGCCCTTACTCTTTTTGATGGTGATGTGATTGTTTATATAGTGTTTGTCAGACGCAACATTCATTATTAACATAACTATGTAATGTTTTTTTTTTTTCTCAGAATCTGTAAGTCCTCCGCAGTGTCAGAATAATTGCATGAATAACTGAATTGCATGTAAATTTTCTTGTTTATCTTTTTTTTTTTTCTTGCATACATATAGAAGGTCCAAAAACAGTAAAACCAGAAATCTTGTTTTTACTTTTTATAAATGAAGTTTATTATGAGAAAAGAAAGCACACAATATTTAAAGATATAACAAACATTATATTATACAAATTAACAAACAGCAATCATTCACTGAAAAACACTGAAGATTGATTCCATGTTGACAGCCCATTTAACGTTGGTGTTCCAGTGTTGCTTCTCTATTTGGAAAAAGTCTCTATGATCCAATGTAAAATACAAAAAAAATCTAAATTGTAAAATTATATTATTACAAAGTATGCAAACCACTGCAATATTAGTGTGCGAATGTAAGCCACTCACACACGCATATATATATACATATATTTGTTTTTATTTTTTTCTCTCTTCTTAGGTTTACTTGCTAATTTTCAGGGCTCAGAAGAGCAGAATGAACTGCCATCCTACCCAGCATATTATGCAGCGGAAGCCCTTGCAGCTGCAGCCCAGTACTGGAAAACACCTATACATATTCACACACACATACACACTATGGCCAATTTAGTTCATCCAATTAATCTATTACCCCACATCTTTGAACTGTGGTGGAAACCGAAGCACCTAGAATAAACCCACATCAACATGGGGAGAAACTACACATAAATGTCAACTGACCCAGCCGGAACTGGACCAGCGACCTTCAGTGCCACTATATTCAGTGCCATATATTCATTCATTAATTTCATTTTCTTGTCTGCTTAGTCACTTTTATTAATCTGGGGTCGCCACAGCGGAATGAACCGCCAACTTATCCAGCAAGTTTTTATGCAGTATAAAAGTATATTTATATTTTTAAAGACTTACTTTATCTTCCCCATTATATGTTGTTTTGTATTTTGTTCATTTTTGAACAGAATTATATAACATTTTGGCACAAATATACAAAATAGTAGACCAAAGCTTGAGGCCAATATGGCAAATATCTCCACAGCAACAGTAAATTTCCCAGGAGAACTAACATAAGCCGGAATAAATGTGATCCATACAGCACAGAATATAAGCATACTAAAGGTGATGAATTTGGCTTCATTGAAGTTATCAGGGAGCTTACGTGCTAGAAAAGCCAAAATGAAACATAAGATAGCCAGAAGGCCAATGTAAAATAAAACTGCAGAAAAACATATTGTAGCACCCAGACTGCATTCAAGAATGATCTTTTCCTTATAATACTTCATATTTTTGTAGGGAAATGGAGGTGATATTATCAACCAAAGCACACAGATGATAACCTGTATGAGTGTAAAGGCAAGAACACTAAGTCTTTGTTGTACAGGCCCAAACCATTTCATTATATTGCTTCCTGGAAGTGTAGCTTTGAAGGCCATTAACACCACTATTGTTTTCCCTAAAACACAGGAGATGCAGAGGACAAAAGTGATCCCAAATGTTGTGTGTCGCAACATACAGGACCACTCAGTTGGGCGACCAATGAAAGTAAGTGAACAGAGGAAACACAGAGTCAGTGAGAAGAGCAGCAGGAAGCTCAACTCTGAGTTGTTGGCTTTTACTATGGGAGTATCTTTCTTGTTGTAAAAGAGAATGGCCACCAGCATAGTTAATCCTACTCCAAACAGTGAGAAAAAGACTAACACTACACCCATAACTTCTGTGAATGACAAAAACTCTACAGATTTGAACACACATTTATTTTTCTCAGTGTTAGACCAGTATTCCAATGGACACTGCTTGCAGTTAACTGAATCTGGAAGGAAAGTTGGTTGTTGTGGTTAAGAGGAAAGAAAAAAAAAATATTTATTTATGAAGTCCTTTGATTAAAAACTGCATCTTAACGAATAGAAAAAGAACACAAAAAGAACAACTAATACATTTTATTGGAAACTTTGAGATAATCTGAGTATTACCTGTCTCGTTACTGATTTCTCCCTCTGCACATGGTATACAGTCATAACAGCAGACAGGTCTTCCTTTCTGTGCAGCCTTCCTGGTGCCTGGAGGACAGCTCTCACTGCACACAGACTTTGGCTTCTACATTCAAAAAATATATTATACAGATAATGTTATTAAATGAATGCAGTGACATCATTGCGGCTATTATGTGTGTTAAAAAGGATGATCATTCTTTCTTTTTTACTCAACAATGATCCAGTCTCTAATTTTAAAATTATTTATATTACTTGAGCTTCTTTAAGAAACAAGATATTGCCATTCACCTTTAACTTTCCCCCAGCCCAGATTATGTTTTCAGTTTTAACAACAAAACGCTTGTCAGGGGGCAATGAAGCATCATAGTATCCCACTGGTTTAAATTGTATTAATCCATCAGAGTCCTGCTGCCAGTTCACAACCTCATATTGGGCAATTGTGGCACCAGTACTGTCAAACCATACACGATCCCCAAATTTTATTGTAAAATTGACCTTCTTTAGAGCCTCAACCATCTAATAAAAAAACACGTTTAATTTTAATAAATTGTAAAACATAAATGTGTCTCATTAACATTTATATCTTTTTTTTACCTGGTACGGTTGTATTGTGAGGTTTTTTTGACAACCTTTTTTTTCTTTGCAGTTGAGCAGACTGTGCAATGAATGAGCTACAGCATAAACTGCTTTGTAGACATTGCTAGCATATCTCTGCTCAGGCACATCTTCATTGTCATTTTTCAGCACAAGAAGGTCCTTATAACTACTGCAGTTAACTTTTAATTGAGAAGAATTCACTATTAAGCATGGAAAAGCTGAGTCCCAGAATGATTTTATAACATAATCTAAAAAACCCTCAGTATCAATTTTTCTCACTGCAAACCCCAGTGACCCTCCAAGAATATGAAAACTGTTTGGAGTGATCAAACTCTTTGCAGTTGTCCATGCTTCCACACCAATTACTTGAAAGCCTGAAATGTTCTGAATGCTTAGTTCCTCAAGTAGATTGACCATCTCAACACGAGATAGAAATGCAATGATTATTTTTGTGGTGCTTCTTTTCATAGTCTCAACGACTTTTTGAAGCTTTTCCGGCTCTGTTCGGTAGAATTTAACAGAGTACTCCACACAAATCCCTTCCTCTTGTGCTGTTTTAAGAAATATGGCCATTCCATTGTTTCCATAGTCATTATCACTGTTCACAGCTCCCACCCAAGACCACCCAAAGTATTTTACAATGTATGCAAGTGCTCTGCTCTGGTGATAATCACTAGCAATGGTCCTGAAGAATGATGGGTAATCTCTTCTATTGCTGAGACATTCGCATGTGGCTGAGTGACTTATCTAAAAAAGAAAACCCCCAATACATTAGACTAATTTATTAATCAATAAGTATTGTCAAGCATAATAATCTTTGATCCTTACCACTGGAATTTTGAAAGGTCCTGTAGTTCTGGACAGAATCACTGTGGCAGAAGACTCAGTTTCTCCTATGATAGCATGTATTGGATATTGTCCATTGCATATGTTTCCTTTTGGAAACTCCTGATCATTCATCAGTGACATGGTTGCACTAATAGAAGATAGTCTTGAACCACAGCTATCATAAATTTTGTAACCAATTGAAACATTAGGAAGCAAACTTTCACTTCTGTTAATCTCCTCAATGGCAAAGATCATAATTTGAGCCATCCGGAAATCTCTTAGATTAACACTGTCACAATATTTCAGATGTTATGTTGATTTATAAGCATGAATTCAACATACTAAGCATAATATGCAGTAAATTATGTTAATATTGAGTACTTATTCTGGAATGTTCTTGAAATCATTTCCCAAATACAATGTTACAAACCTGGAGCATGACAGAAGCTGGGGTTTTTGTGTAAATTCCAATGAAGGTAATATTTCTACACTGCGGATTGAAAAAATACCCCCAATAGTTACGTCTCCAACTTTTGAAAACAACGCATACTTGGGATCTCCCATTTTTTGACAAATAGTGTCTTCTGCCTTTGTAAAAGGTTCATTAAAAAGCAAAAATATAGAAAGCAAGATAAGCATCCTGATCGAGTTGCACTGCGAATGTCAAATGCGTTGAAATGATAGAGCAGATGTCCTTTTATTGACAAAATTAATATGGATGAATATCTGAGAGTGTAAGCAATGATGTCATGGAGCAGGAAAGGACTGATGTCATGTAACAGTAGAAAATAGTCAGACAAATTTGATGGTGGGATGGTTTCAATCTATTATCAAGGTATTAATTGCTAACTATTATATATGTTGGAATACACAGTATTATTTAATAAGTTGTTTATTTATACAGTGACTTTAAAGCTGGTTTTCCACTATCGTGCTAAACCGTTCTTTATGCTGAACCGTTCCATTCGGTGCCAAACCGAGCCAGACAGCACAGATATGGTTTCATTTTCCAGTGTCAGTAGTTGCCTGGGTAACGCAATGTAAACGGCTCACTTTGTTTAATTAAATTTAAATAAAAGCTGAAACTAGAAGCGAAAGTCACAGTACCGTATTCATCTAAAGGTCATATTGCACGGCTCTGGGCAAATTTTTTTTGCAGGGAAAATTACTAAAATGTAATGTGATGATTGGAAATGATTGGAGGGGAAACAAATAATATATTTCAAATCCCCTAAACAATTATAATGCAACAATAATAGTGAATTTGTATTAGTGGAAGAAATATATTTTTGGACAGGCCATCTCAAAAGTGAGCAGGTACTTTCACTAATAAAAAATATAGCATTTATTTGACTTTTAACAATCAATTAAACTACACAGCGGTTTTTATCAGAAGTCGATAAGGATATAAAATATACTACGTTTTGATTGTAAAATATAACCATTTGAAAGGTGGCTGTTATTTCTTTCAGTATACAAACATTAAATAACAAATGCTTCAAGTTAAATAAAAAATGAATATGAAACAACATAGCATATCAGGCTATAAAGCACAATTATATTTAGAATTTTATATTTGAATTTTTGTTATTTGATTTTTGTTTATTTTTTTTGTCTTTACAATTAACGAATGAGCTATAAAGAAATTCCTGCTTGAACTTTTAGAAAATATATTAAGCAGCCATCCAGTGTATATTAATGATCACAGAGAACAGAAAACATCAACACAGAATCATGTTACATGGCCCCATAAATGTCCAACTTATATTTAACTTACTCATAATGGCCTATACCTAAATGTTAAAAATTGTTCGTTTAATTTTTGTAAAACATTTGTCAAAGCATGTTGATATTTTTGGAGTAAAACACTACCGACATTTAAGAATCTATATTTATTTTAATTTTTCATTAATTTAACTTGTTTATTGGTGCATACATAGACTATAATTTAAATCATACAACAGTACCTTGGACAGCTTTCACACAGAAGTCCAAAAAAATGAAAAGATTTGACTTCTATGGTGACAGACGGCCGACATTTACAACACGTCGTAACTGTCCTTCAGGTGGTATAGCCAGCATTAAATTACAAAGCTCTAATAAAATACTATTTTTAAAATAAATGCATCGTAGTTTAGGTGATGCACTGGCGTAGTAAATAGTATGTTGCCTCACAGAATGTCACTGGATCGCTGGTTCGATCATAGGCTCAGTTGGTGTTTCTTTGTGGAGTTTGCATGTTCTCCCTGCATTCGCGTGGGTTTCCTCCGGGTGCTCCGGTTTCCCCCACAGTCCAAAGACATGCAGTACAGGTGAATTGGGTGGGCTAAATTGTCTGTAGTGTGTGAGTGTGTGTGAATATGTGTGTGGATGTTTCCTAGAGATGGGTTGCGGCTGGAAGGGCATTCTCTGCGTAAAAATGTGCTGGAATAGTTGGCGGTTCATTCCACTGTAGTGAACCCAGATTAATAAAAGAACTAAGCTGACAAGAAAATGAATAAATGAATGTAGTGTAGTTTACTTGTGAATGTCTGATGACTAGCGTGCTTCCGCTGAGCCAGCTGTCGTAGGTTGGCAACAGAGCCGCGACGTCAATTACTTTAACTGATGAAGCCCAATGCAGCAAAGGATTTTGTTTTGTTTTGTTTTCAAAATGTGATGTACGGTAGCTACACGTAACAGTATAGCTTGTTCATGTGTTTTTTTGCTTTATGTACAGTGAAATTAAATGTCTGGACTTCTGCTGGGAAATGTCTTTAGGGCTTGTTTAAAGAGGACATATGCATAAAGCACTCGTATAAGATGTGACTAGTATTCCACTGAAAATGATTTCATCTTATACACTGGAAATTAAAATGCTGTTACTTTAGTGATTTTTTTTATGTAAGTGAGATTAATTTAATGTGAGAAGTCAGTACAGTTGACAACCAGTAGGCTTACACACATGCACAGTGCAATGTTCACATACACGTTTTAAGAATGGTGTCGGGAGGGAAAAATGGTCTATTATTCGCTAAACTTATTAAAAGAGAAAAAAAAATATTATGAACAGAATGGATGAAAGAAAGGTGCACATGCAGCAATGATCTATTTAAGGTGTTTGAGGAAATGCAGCTTTAAACCTTCACTAGAACAATAGAACAAATCAAAAATAGATGGGTGCTTCTGAAAACTGCATTCTTCTGGGCAACACTGGTTCTTGGCATTGGCACAAGTGACCAACGGTTTGGTTATAGCAGCCCAGCCATGTATATTGCATCGTGGAGCCCCTGATGAACAGTTTTGGTGGAAAAAGGAGAGTTGAGGTGCACATTTAATCCTGCAGTAGCTTTCTGGCAGTAATATGTTTTTTGTTTTGAATATAGTTCGGGTTAGCACTGAACATGGATGTGGTTCATCCTTCTTGGTGGTATGCTGGCATTACCCTGGATACTGTGGCTCTTTATACATCACAAAGACTTGCTGTCTTGGTCAATGATGTGCATGAGAAAAGCGCACAAACAATTTGTCCTCTTTTAAACTCTGAAATGTCACCCATAATGTTGTGTTCACTGCAATATTTTAAGCAAAACTATGCTATTACCTTGTTAATTAATCCTTCATACTCTGTTCTTACTGTTGGAGTGAGCAATCAATGAAGGTTTGGAACCATATTCTTATTTTATAATCAGAGATGGCAAAAGTACACACATCCTTTACTTAAGTAGAAGTAAGGTACTCATGTTTAAAATGACTGGTAAAAGTAGAAATTCTGACTGCACTTTTGTACTAAAGTAAAAGTAAAGTACAGCCTCAAAAATGTACAGAAAAAAAGAAAAAGTACCTATTTTAACCACAGTCCAAAGATATGCGGTATCTGTGTATAATAGGTATTAGGTAACTAAATTGTAAGTAGTCTATAAATGTTCGTGTGTGAATGGGTGTTTCCCAATACTGGGTTGCATCTTTAAGGCTGTTGTGAAAAACATGCTGGAAAAATTGGAGGTTCATTCTGCTGTGGCGACCCCTGATAAATGTCCAATTTTTATGTAAAATATTTATTGCTAATTTTATGAAAGTAGCCAAGCAGCATCAAACCCTGCAATAAATCCTAACAACATTGCTCAAAAAGTTGGTTCATGTATCATCATCCTGACACAAACTCACAGTGTTTATCATGTAGTTTTGTGCCTGCAAAATGACTGCATGCAAACAATTTTTTTGCATTAGGCTAAAGCTGCTTTATTTTCTTTAAAAAGTAGCTCTCATACATAACCCATTATTTCATTGTGGTTTTTTCCAGTTATTGTGGTTATTTTATTTAACGAATAAACATTAATTGTGTTAAAGTTTTTCCTCAGTCACCTTAGTCCAAATTGAAATTCTCAAAACTACCTGTTCAATCTTCAGATCATCATTAAGTCACTTGTGCACAGCAGAAAAGCAAAGTCTCATTATGAACATGTCACAAATGCTTTTGCACATCCATGCAAATGATTATGTGCATTTCTCTCCTGTTTCCTATCAGTTGCTCATGTCATGTAGTCATGTCAATAGTCTCACTCCCCACAACATTTAATAATTTGTTCATCGATTAAGTCTTTACATGAAAAATGGCTGACCAGGTTGTCATAGTATTTTGTCTTAATGACTTTTTTATACATCATCTTTAGACTTTTTCTAATTTAGGTCTAAATCGAGGTTGTCCTATGTTCACATTTTTATTTTGTTTATTCTTTGTGCTGTGCAGTGCTGTTGTTTTCCTTATATATGTATGTGTGTGTGTGTGTGTGTGTGTGTGTGTGTGTGTGTGTGTGTGTGTGTGTGTGTATCTATTATAATAAACTTTCCAATATCTAGATTTATTTGATTTTTTGTTTTTGTTTTCATATTTAGTATGATCTTTTGGATAATATTCATTTGTTTCTGTTTGGAACAGCTGAACTTAACAATGAGGTGCCTCAGTTTTATTGATTTTATTGATCAAAATAGAACTGACTTAGATTGAAGTTGGTTCAATTTAAAAATTAAACAAAAAAAGCTTAGATGTAGCTGAGCTACTTTTGACATGTGAATCCATTCCTGGAAAAAAAAATATATTACATGCAAACAAATAAGGGTAAAATAATGCTAAAGTCTGATAATGATCCATAAAAATGATCTTATACAGCTTAAAAGGGACAGTTTATCCAAAATGTATTTACTCATTCACTCACTTGTAACAGGCATGTTTTACTTTTTCTTTTATGTTGAACAGAAAAAAAGGTTATTTTGAAGATAGCTGAAAACCTGTATCTATTGACTTCCATAGTATTTGTGTTCCCCTTCGGATATGGAACTTCTATGCTATTGGTGGATTTGAACTATAAATCCACGAATGGGAGGTTTCGGTTTAGAAAGCCAATTGTCTGAAAGAGTATGGAACGGCCCAATGAAATGCCAATGAATTGGCAGCGTAAGCTTGCGCACCTGGAACTTATTGCCAATTATCTCCGCATATAAGCACAGGTGGAGCAAGCACACGCTATCCTTTTCGCTTCAGAGACTTCACAGCCTTCTGATTGAGTCGATGAGGGTTCCTCCTGCTTTCTACAGCAATTCGAGCGAACGAGAATTCTCCCGGTCTCGAGTGGGTACACGCGGCGGCAGACGGTCGAGCT